GAGGATTTAACATACATGTGACAAATGAAATGGGCCAAATCTGGATTTTCAGCTGGATTTTGAGGCTCAAAACTGGATTTTAATTTTAATCATGATTTTTCGGATGTGACAGTTTAATTATTTTGTCTAAAGGTATTTATATTTTAGTTTTGTTCATAAATAGGTCAAAATTAATGTAAATACATGCTGTCTTAATTGTTTTTCATTCCGCCCGATTTTCAGGCGGAACATGCTATTGGTTTTTGAGCAATTTCGATATGACGTTGCTTTGCCAAGAAGCAAAAATATCTCAAAGCTACATCATATTTATAAAACTAGGTTAAACCTACCACAAGTCAGACCATTTTACATTCATTTTATACTGTGAGATATGCAATTGATTATCTTTACTCGCAATTCTACTGATAAGAATAGCCTGTCGTCTGCTAGTTCGGAAACTGTCAATCCCTGTATTATCTTAACAAGAAACAGTGTGTGAATTCTGCAAATACCACACTCTTACAGAACATGCTAGAATCACTTATATGCAGTCTGTAAAATATGGCATGTGTATGCCTGACTGCCCGAGGCATGTAAGATCTAATTCAGAACTGCAAAATTCCAGAAATTATAGCTCCATCTGACTTATAAGCAGTCCAGATCGGACAATTTCACCAGCCTGTTGACAGTTCACATTTTCATAATTTTGTGAACAAACATATCGTCGGGTCATGTGTTTTGACGCTCATCTATTTTGACGCCATTTTTGTTTTGACCTAAAAAATGACGAAAACGACCTCGTATGACGTCATAATTTGCTGACTGCACTGCAAGCATGTATTTACAACGTATAACTAAAACATGTGGAAAGACAGAGATATTTCACTGAAAATACTTCACCTTTATCATATGTACTGTATTTTTTCATCTTTTTACTAATGCAAATTCAATTGATGTTTATGCAAGCCATAATTTTGCAAATATAGCCTTTGTGAAATCTTGACCTGCCCTTTTCTGTTTCTATCCTCCATTTTAAAATGTCTAATGAGTGTCATGTGACTAAAACTTTGCAAAGTGTCCTTAATATTCACTGTATCATAAGGTGTACAGCTTATATTTTTTGAAAACGTTAATTGGTTTTTAATTGATACTGAGTAAAATTCATAATGGATTAATTATTGTATATAAAGTTTAAAAAAAGAAAGAAAAAAATCATTTTTCAAATAAACATATACATATCTTTACAGCATTCATTTTAGATATATTTTTCAGCCCTTTAAGCCAAATACAGATGCTATTCATCAAGATTAATGGTAAATACATTCAAGGTTAAAGAGACAGGTGCACCTAATAAGACCACTGCCAGGGTGTATGACATTCCTAAATAATGGATAGTTTTATATGAAATATATTATAATTTTAAGTTTTCACGATGTAGCGGTGCGGAAATTTAGTGGTGTATTTCGATTATTTGGTGGTGTTCTACCATATCACAAAAAATATATATCAGGGCCTTTTCACTAGTTTTGGGGAAGGCGCCCTAGCCCTTTTTGTGGGGAAAAAATGCGCAATTTTCACACTTTTGGGGAAAATATCATATTTTCACACATTTCGGGGAAATATCATAATTTATTTGCATATATTCCTCCAATCACATTTAAGGTTTACTATAGTACTAAGCTTTCTGTCCAACAGGAGTAAAAAACATTTTTTACAGATCAATTTATTGCCCCTTTATATTAACTCATATTTCCTATTTATAGTATTTTACGTTGGTCATGTGAGGGTTCTTGGTTTGATTCAGAAGGTACATTATTATCAGTTTACACTGTATTACTGGCACTGATGTGCTAGGCTAGCTATTTCCGACAGTTGGGCATGTTGTGCTACTCGGAGACATGGGCTTGCACTAACAAGGTCATCAATTCATCCAATTTTTAATAAACAATTACAAACGTCACTCAATCGTATTTTCTTCTTCTGTGACATTGTTTACATTAGTGACATCGTATAAATCGCCATGTTGTCATAACAAATCACATGTGCACTAAAAAATAAGGCAGCAGGGATTTCCCATGCTGTTTTTAGAAAGTTACAAACTCAGACTGAGGCTCTGAGTTAACATCAATTGTATTAAATCAAGGTATCCCTCTATTGGGTTATTGAATTATTAGCTTTCATTGGACAAAACATTATCTATTTATAAACAAGAAAGTTTGTTTACAAGTTTTATTCTTCAGTTAAAGGGAAAATATTTGCCAGAAGGGGAATTTTAGACTGTTTTTTGGGGAAAAAAGGTAGTAATTTGGCTTGGGGAAGTAGCCTGATACAGGCTACAGCAAAGAAGGGTAAAAAGGCCCTGTATATAAACAGCTGATCTTACGTAGCGCTTCATTCTCTTTCCGGTTAGGCTGCAGATAGATCTATGATAGGTAGGAATTTTGGTATTTATATCTAGCCATCCTTCTAAATAGTGAAATGTATTTAGTTTGATTTTGGTTTATTTCTATCGTTGAGTATTTGGTCTCGCGTTATATGTTATTATTTCAATTATATTGAGATTATTTACATCGATATTCGGGCAGTTAAAATAACTACTTTTGCTCTGTCTAATATGCATGAACACTTTTATTTTTCACCATATAGGAATGAGAGAGAGACGCACATGCCAAGATTATAATGTCATATGTCGTTAGGAGCTTATCCTTTGTAAGTGTTGACTTGAATTATTATTATTTATTAAACTAAACTTTGTTAAATACTTGTTTAGAATTAATAAGTTGATAAGATGCTGTTCCAGCTATCTATTGATATTGTTCGAACCATTGATATTGTTTGAACCATTAATATTGTTTGAACCATTGTGTGAAATGTTGAAAATGAGAAATGTTGTAATGCTGTATTAATAATTATTTTCGTAATGAGCAGGGCTCGCGCTGGCAGGAGCCAATGAGCAAATTGGCTCCAAAATTATTAAATTGGCTCAAGAAAATCATGATTGGCTCCAACTTACGAAAAGTATAACTTTTGGAATATCCAGTCTAAATTTAGCATTTGCTATTTTAAGAATGGAAAAGTACACATTTGGTTTTCCATTTACAACTTCCGCTTTACCGCTTCTCATCAAAAAACACTGCGACACAGTCTGCTTTTTGTGGGGTCATTGACTGGTCTATATTTGTTACTTCCCTTCCAAATAAAATATCGTTATAAACAGTAACACAGTCTAATACACTGACCTCGTGGTATGTTTACATGTTTATCAGCTGATAAATATGACATTAATTGGTGTGAATTGTTGAATGTGCACTGGATAATTGGTCTTTATATTCGGTATGAAACAATAAATAGCGGCATCTTAAGATTATCGCCAATCATATCAACAGCTTGGTTATGAAATGGACGACTTTACGGTAAGTTTGCAATCATATAATTTTATTGTTGTTGATAAAACGATCAAAGGAATTATGAGTTATAGAATAGAAGTTTGTTTTTTTTAAATTGCAAATTAAATCTGACCTAATAATGGCTCCAAAAAAGCATAAATTTGACAAAGAGTATATTTGACAATTAGTATTCCTGAAAAAAAAATTGACCTTACTTTGTACATAACCTCTATCTGGAGCATTCATTTACAAATGGCATACATGGCTGTGAAATGTTTATGGAAAATCCAAGAAACATACAACATATTTTTAGGAAACTTATGCTAATTACTTTACTCTTATAATGAATATTTGGCTTTTTTTTTCCTGAATTATGTTTACTTTAGAACTTTTCAATATTCTTTTCTTCATTAATAATTATTCTTCTTACTCTCAAATGTTTCTGTTTTTACAATTTCAGATACAGATAGTCCTCAAACCAAATCTTTGGCATTAACCAAGCAAGCTGAAGCAGCACATTGGAATGTGGTTCTGATGTCACTGTCATGCCACTAACTTAGATTTTATGAAAACATTGCTGACCAAATTAGCCTGGAAAATGTTATTCTTATAGCTACTGAGCTGCAAGCTTTAATGATCAGTATTAAAGTAATTAAAATGTAGCTACCAAAATAAAGTTGGATATATATGTAGTTTATGTTTTTTTTTCTAAATATCTCATGCCTTTTTAAGGTGTTCCATATATGAACTAATGCTATAAATTAGTCTGACAATTGAATTCTGGTTATTTGACAGTACCATTGCCTTCTTGAAAATAAAATACAGGCACGCAATTTTTGCCGCGAAAAATTGGCTCAAAGAAAAAATCTGCCAGTGCTAGCCCTGATGAGTTTATGTTTTTTATTAATAAATTCTTCTTGGTTTCAGGACGTTTTTTATTGACAAGTATTAGCTTGGTTATGAAGAATTGAGAGAACTATATCATAAGTCGAATTCTATGTATAAAAGAAAAACTGTATAAACCAAGATGAAGCTGAAACCTCTTTAGTTGTTTATCCACCTGTATCCATCTCACCCAAGAAAACCCCCCCTGTAACATTACATTGCAGGTTTGCTCATTTAAAAACTTCTTTTGCTGTTCATACTTCATTACAGTGAAATATCCTTTTAAAATAACCACCCAATGAAAAGGCGTCATTTCATATGACTGTAAACAACAATGGATGCCTCCACAGTCTGTTTAGTTAAGTACAAAACTTAACTGATTTTGAATTTTAACAAACATAAAAATGGTTTGCAGTGATTAACAACATGCCATAGTTACTTTATATTGTATATTATTTAATGATCAGGTTCAATATAAAGAAATGCACTAGTTAAACAGCTTAAGGGCGTCAAAACTAATGACTCTAGGATACCTGTAGGATACAGTATATGATATCTGCATGCACACGTGAACCGAAACCGGGAGTTAACTGTGAAGCAATGTAAAATTTTAAACAAGTTAAGTAGAAAGCAGTAGATCGACGAGAAATAGAGATAAGAAAAGAACCAAAATAAGAATTTTGCAAAATTTTATAAATTAGGTCTATTTGCAACAAAAACAGTAACAAATCTATAATGAAAAATTAAAACCTTATATAGAACACATCTGTTTTTCCAGCCGACAAACCACACTGTCTTACACATTCTTCCCTTGACCATCCTGGAGGTAAGCCAGGTACGTTTCCTGATCTTTTGTCCATATTTCTTAATTTCTGCGGCGACAACAACAACAACGCTTAAACCGGAAATGCATTAAATTCATGGCGCAGTCTAAAACGCGGACGTCTTAATTAAGCGAACAATGAAAACGCTGACGATATATAGACAAAGAGGAAAAAAGCGGACGATAAAGATATATATAGTGTAAAATGACTGAGCACAGTTAAATCTATATTAAAGGCAAATAATTGGCTTTTATAAAGTAATATATATGAAAGGCATTAGATAGAAGCAGTAGTATTGTATAGATATACTTGTATAGATATATAAAAGAAAATCTTATGATGCATAAATTTTATTAGAATGAGTCAATTTGCAATCAAAATTATAAAATATATTTACGAAGTGCAATAATCTTTTTTTTGCCCTGAATTTATTTATTTATGTATGTTTTAAATAACGGGAAAAGAGCGGGCGTTGTAATTGATTTTAAATGTATTGTGTTAAAACGCGCGGAGAAATGACATTTGTAAAGTATATAAAAGCTGTAAGGTGTAATTATTATAATAATTTAAAAAGACTTTAGTTTATTTATTTGATTAAATTCTTAAATAATAATTGTTATGTAGAAAATCCGTTTTTAAAAGAAATCTTTCAATAATGTATTTGTTCAGTTTAATTGACGTAATCATTGTTGATAAGAAAAGGCGTATTAAAAAAAACAATTTATTTATTTATTTATTTATTTATTTATTTATTTATTTGTACATGTTAATTGACTTAATAATTTTTAATTAAACAGTACAAAGTATGCAACAGTCACGTATGGAAAATTGAATAACTATAAGGGCACGAGAAATAAGTTTGAACAACGCATGTGCACTTTGCAAGCGCAATTTGCGGACAATATAAACATATACGGAAAACGCTTACAAATATAGAAAAGCGGACGATACATAGATACCAATCAACTAATTCAAGTATCCACGTGTCACTTGTGTATTTGACTTAATCACGTACCGACACTTGTATATTTCATACACCTCACCCTTGTATATTTAATAAAGTGGCAACAGAAAACGCGGACAATATATATAGACCTATAGTGAAAAAGCGGGCGATATATATATATATATATATATATATATATATATATATATATATATATATATATATATATATATATATATATATATATATATATATATAAGCAAAAACGCTAATTTAAATTTGCCGTAGCTTTCGGCCTTGCGGCCTTCTTCAGCAGCATTTATTTCACATACAAATATATCAAACAAAACAATGGAAGTGACGTAACGTCAACGAACGACGCCCGCCGTGGCGTTGGTTGCCGTCTGCCGCGTTATTCTTTTGTATTCACTCCATACGGTCTATAGGTTCTTAATTTATTTTTCCACAAATTTTCTATTGTTTTTCTGTATTGTTCATTCCCGTATAGCTTTTCCAGCCCCATTATTGAAAAATCATTTACTGTGTGGTCGTTCGTATAAAAATGCGCCGCTAACGGATCGTTGTATTTGGTTCGTATTCTGGATAAATTAAGAAGGTGTCTTTGGTACAACGTATCCCCTGTTTCTCCAACATAAATATAACGTTCGCAACGCTTACAATAAACTGCATACACAACATTCGTAGATTTGCACGTGATCTGATTTCGAACCTTATACGAGGCCCCGTTCACACCAATGAATGTGTCTGCTTCAATAACGTACGGACAAATCGCACATTTTTTGGATCTGCAAGGAGCACAGGAATTCGGCTGTTGAAAAAAATAGTTTATTGTGTTTCTTATGAACGAGAATGTCTTGTAGGTTATTATCTCTTCTAAATGCTGCAATTGGTGGATTCGGGAATATTTCCTTCATTCTATCTGAGGTGTGTAATTCAGGTAGGTGTTTTCGTACTATTTGTCCTACATTCGGGAGCGCTCTGGAAAATGTCAGTACCAAGGGGATTCTTTCAGTGTTTTCTTTATCTTCATTAGAATGTAATAGGTCACTTCTTTTTTTACTATCTACTTTATTTAATTCTGTTTCAATATGTCGATCTTCATAGCCTCGTTTCTGTAACTGAGTTTTAATATTTTCTCTATGTTGTTTGTAAGTTGATTCATTAGTACATATTCGCTTAGCACGGAGGGCAAGTCCATATGGTATTGATTTTTTTGTCGATTCCGGATGAGACGAATTTTTATGCAAGTACAGGTGTTTATCTGTGGGTTTAGTGTATAGGTCTGTTATTAAAATGCCATTCTGAATCTTCGTCATTACGTCGAGAAACTCAAGTTTTTCAGTAGAATATCTTAATTCTAATTTTATTCTTGGATGAAGGTTATTCCCAAGCTCATGGAATGTTTTTAACGACTCGATACCGTGAGTCCAAAGGCCCCAAACGTCATCAACATACCGGAAATACTCAAGCGGAAGTTTATCTGTTATCGTCATCAGCTGTGATTCCCATGATCCAAGATATGTAGATGCGTAATTCATCCCTAATCGTGAGCCAATCGCTGTTCCTTCTGTCTGCGTGAATTTTCTTCCATCAAATTTTCTTAAGAAAATTAGAGAATATTAAACAACCACTTCCGGCAGGAACAATTCTTTTCTGTTTAGACGTGAAAGCCCTGTACCCAAGTGTCCCACGGGCAGAGGCACGAGATGCGGTTGCACGTGCATTAAATCAACGTGCCAACCCTAACATACCCACAGAAGATGTTCTTAATATGATGGACACTGTCCTTGAAAATAACACTATTTCATTTGATGGAAGAAAATTCACGCAGACAGAAGGAACAGCGATTGGCTCACGATTAGGGATGAATTACGCATCTACATATCTTGGATCATGGGAATCACAGCTGATGACGATAACAGATAAACTTCCGCTTGAGTATTTCCGGTATGTTGATGACGTTTGGGCCTTTGGACTCACGGTATCGAGTCGTTAAAAAAAAACATTCCATGAGCTTGGAATAACCTTCATCCAAGAATAAAATTAGAATTAAGATATTCTACTGAAAAACTTGAGTTCTCGACGTAATGACGAAGATTCAGAATGGCATTTTAATAACAGACCTATACACTAAACCCACAGATAAACACCTGTACTTGCATAAAAATTCGTCTCATCCGGAATCGACAAAAAAATCAATACCATATGGACTTGCCCTCCGTGCTAAGCGAATATGTTCTAATGAATCAACTTACAAACAACATAGAGAAAATATTAAAACTCAGTTACAGAAACGAGGCTATGAAGATCGACATATTGAAACAGAATTAAATAAAGTAGATAGTAAAAAAAGAAGTGACCTATTACATTATAATGAAGATAAAGAAAACACTGAAAGAATCCCCTTGGTACTGACATTTTCCAGAGCGCTCCCGAATGTAGGACAAATAGTACGAAAACACCTACCTGAATTACACACCTCAGATAGAATGAAGGAAATATTCCCGAATCCACCAATTGCAGCATTTAGAAGAGATAATAACCTACAAGACATTCTCGTTCATAAGAAACACAATAAACTATTTTTTCAACAGCCGAATTCCTGTGCTCCTTGCAGATCCAAAAAGTGTGCGATTTGTCCGTACGTTATTGAAGCAGACACATTCATTGGTGTGAACGGGGCCTCGTATAAGGTTCGAAATCAGATCACGTGCAAATCTACGAATGTTGTGTATGCAGTTTATTGTAAGCGTTGCGAACGTTATATTTATGTTGGAGAAACAGGGGATACGTTGTACCAAAGACACCTTCTTAATTTATCCAGAATACGAACCAAATACAACGATCCGTTAGCGGCGCATTTTTATACGAACGACCACACAGTAAATGATTTTTCAATAATGGGGCTGGAAAAGCTATACGGGAATGAACAATACAGAAAAACAATAGAAAATTTGTGGAAAAATAAATTTAGAACCTATAGACCGTATGGAGTGAATACAAAAGAATAACGCGGCAGACGGCAATCAACGCCACGGCGGGCGTCGTTCGTTGACGTTACGTCACTTCCATTGTTTTGTTTGATATATTTGTATGTGAAATAAATGCTGCTGAAGAAGGCCGCAAGGCCGAAAGCTACGGCAAATTTAAATTAGCGTTTTTGCTTATATACGGCAAGTTAGAGATTTTACTTATATATATATAGATATAGAAGGAAAACGCTGACAAAATAAATGTATAAAAGGGGAGAATAGAAAACTGTTATAAATTTCAAAAAATCCGGCTTCTGCCATGTATATAATGAAATTATATCAAGTTTTTTTTATTCATTATTTTTTTTAGTTTTATTTATATTTTATCCATTTATAGTTACTAAAAAACCTTTCTACTATAAATACCAATCAACTAATTTAAGTATCCACGTGTCACTTGTGTATTTGACTTAATCACGCACCGACATTTGTATATTTCAAGTAATCATACGTACACCTCACCTTTGTATATTTGATAAAGTGGCTACAGAAAACGCGGACAATATAGACATATATAGTGAAAAAGCGGGCGATATAGATATAGAAGGAAAACGCTGACGAAATAAATGTACAAAAGGGGAGAATAGAAAACTGTTATAAATTTTAAAAAAAACCGGCTTTTGCCATGTATATAATTAAATTATATCATTTTTTTTAAATTCATTATTTTTTTTAGTTTTATTTATATTTCATCCATTTAGTAACTAAAAACCTTTCTACTATAAAAACCAATCAACTAATGCAAATATCCACGTGTCACTTGTGTATTTGACTTAATCACGCACCAACATTTGTATATTTCAAGTAATCATACGTAATATACGTACCTGGAGAGTTGAGTTGATGTTACCGGGAGTGTTGAGTTTAGGTAATTCGGAGAGTTGAGTTGACGTAACCGGGAGAGTTGAGTTGAGTTGACGTAACCAGGAGAGTTGAGTTGAGGTAACCCGGAGAGTTAAGTTGAGGCTACAGGGTGAGTTGAGTTGACGTTATGGGAAGAGTTGAATTTAGGTTACCAAGAGAGTTGAGTTGAGGCTACAGGGAGAGTTGAGTTGAGCTTAACAGGAGAGTTGATTGAGGTAAAGGGGAAAGTAAAGTTGTGTTGAGGTTACTGGGAGAGTACGTTGAGTTGAGGTAAAGGGGAGAATTGAGTTGAATTGAGGTAAAGGTGAGAGTTGAGTTGTGGTAAAGGGCAGAGTAAAGTTGAAGCTATGGGGTGAGTTGAATTGAGGTAAAGGGGAGAGTTGAGTTGATTTGATGTCATGGGGTGAGTTTAGTTGAGGTAACCAGGTAAGTTAAGTTGATTTGAGGTTACCGGGAGAGTTAAGTTGAGTCGAAGGGGAGAGTTGAGTTGAGTTGAGGTTTAGGGGAGAGTTTAGTTGAGTTGAGGTTACTGGTAGAGTTAAGTTGAGGTAGAGGGGAGAGTTGAGTTGAGGTAAAGGGGAGCGTAAAGTTGAGTTGAGGTTACCAAGAGTGTTGAGTTGAGATAAAGGGGAGAATTTAGTTGAGATTATGGTGAGAGTTAAGTTGAGATGAGGTTACCGGGAGAGTTGAGTTGAGGTCTAAAGGGGAGAGTCGAGTTGACTGGTAAAGGGGAGAGTTGAGTTGATGTTACGGGCAGAGTTGAGTTGAGATTACAGGGAGAATTGATTTGAGATAACTGTGATGAGTCTGGTCAGTTAACTAGTACATATGTGTATATCCTATTGTTAAAATGTTTAATCTTTTTACTTTTCTTTAAATTCATAGTCTATTTTTCTCAAGTTTGATTTTATTGAATATTTTGGTTCATCTGGAGGCATGCAGCTTTAAAGGCCACTAGTTCATAGTGGCAAATATGCCACTATGAAAATCAAATGAACTGGGGGCTTCTGTGAGTGTACTATATGGACATATTTCTAGTTTTTCTTCTTAATTCAATGTGTTAAGTTTATTTTTCATTTTTGTGGTATTGTTATGTTTTTGTTGTTTTTTTGCGTAATTATTTTTACCTTTCTTTTCTAATGTTTATATTGAAAACTGTTGATTTAAAAACTTTGTTTGTGTTTCGTTTCCAAGTAAGTTCCAACTTAACCAATTATTAGCGCATCTCCATGTAAATCATGTTTATTAGCTGACCATGAAAGAAGTTGAACAAAAAAAAACAACAACAACAACACATAATTTGTCTGTTTAAATATTAGCATACTATGAAAATAATGGAAAAAACTTGCTTACTTAAAATTGAATCAAAACAACAGCAAACAAGAGCACCACTAGGCGGAGCATTTTATATGACATGCCCGAAAGTGTTTTTTCAAAAAGCAATCCTGAGCTTTATAGCTAAAGAACCTTCATATATATATACAGTTGCTGTTTCTAAAACACCACCATCAATGTGTTATCTTGTAAGAAAAAATGCTACGACGGATAGACGGAAAGACGCCAGGGGTATTACATAATATAAGCAAATTTTTTAGGGCATATAATTTATGTACTCAATATAAGTGATCATCCTATATGAAGTTTGACAGTTGTAAAACTGTTAACAATATAAGGTCATTTGATATTGACCTTTGACCTTGTGACCTCAATATAGATATGGATCTTTTATTTAAATAGGCAATATCATCCTATGAAGTTTGAACACTGTAAGACTTATGCTCCAGAAAGCACAATTTTTCAGTGTTAAAGTCATTGTGACCCTGACCTTTGATCTTATGACACTAAAATCAATAGGGATCATGTATTGGACATGGCTGTTCATCCTATAAAATTTTACAGCTGTAGGTTCATTAATACTTAAGTTATTGAGCGAAAACCGTTTTCAGTTAACTTTTAAGGTAATAGTGACCTTGACCTTTTACCATGTGACCCTAAAATCAATAGGGGTCTTCTACCCAATATTGACACTCATCCTATGAAGTTTGATTATTGTGAGGCCAGTGGGTATAACATAATGGAGCATAATAATACAATATTCATCAATTTTTATGGAGCTTAATAATACATTAGAAATTTATGAAATAAGGGGATTTTGTTCGGGTAGGTACAGTAAGGGGATTTTGTCCAGCCTTGCAAAAACATGAAGGGAATCATGTCCACTCATGGAGGGGATTTTGTCCGGGTATGCGAAGGGGATTTTGTCTGAAGGCGATTATGTCCGTACACCACAAGAAATATGTATGATATCATCTCTTTAGAGGACTCTCTCAATCGTCATTTGTTTTCTTTTCAGTAAACATACATAGTTGTGGTGTGTGCGTGTTTGTGTGCGTGCGCGTAGGTGCGTGAAAAATAGCTTAGTTCCAGACACAGCTTCAAACTGAAGATTGAGGAATGTGTGTGATCAGCCCTATTTAATGAAGTATCCGTTGGATGGTCAAACATACCACTATATTAAATATAGCTGTACTACAGCAATCAAAGGATAACTGTTAACGCACCAGCAGGATGTTTTACGAGTTTCCTCCCTTGCATTTGCATAATGTTGTACATATATTTTATCTGGTATATACAATAATTGAAAATCTTGCAAATGTGCCATGCGATTCTATTATCAATGTATCATGTATGCAGTGCACACAGATTTTGCAAAAACATGTCTTAAAGAAAAAATAAACATAAAATCGTCTGGTACACAAGTTGCATTATGAATTAGTAAATAGCCTAACCATGTTAAAGACATTACTTAATCAGTACCGACATGCTCGTGGAAAATGATAGTGACCATTTTGTTTTATATGTATTTTTTTTCTAACATTTTGTAAGAATATGCTGGACATATTCTTCTTCAAGACCATGTTGTTTTGTATACAACAGGTTGAACTATATAACATTTACAAAAAGTCTATGTTATTTTGGATCATCCCTCTTACTTTTACCATTCTTTTACGTAAAATTGAAGAATGAATTATCAAGCACCTAAGGCTGGATTTTTACAGTGTTGTCTAAGATAAAGAACTACTTACCTTTAACTTAATTAATGTTAACACAATAAACAACTAAAAATAGTTAGAAAATAGTTAGAAAACACCGTGTTGGTTATTCATGTGAACAAGACCTATAAATTTTGTTAATACCTGGTTGTGAGAAATGGAAATGTCAGTCTTAGAACTAACATTATGATAACCTTGTAACTTTAATAGAATTAACCTTAGTTTTCCAGGCCAGTATTTCATAATCTGAACTTATTTTTTTATAAAATGTTAACTAACTTAAGTATATTTTACTTTCTGTTTGCTAGTTTTTAAGAAGTTTGAAAGTAAATGAGACAAACATTTAGTAAGTCCACTAATAATATACAAATAATAAACACATGTATAATAATGCTTTATAGCAGTACCAAATACCACTCAAAACAACAACTGTTAACATTGTGAGGCACCTGTATGTGCCTACATACTGGACAAATCAGTAGCTGTCCAAAATTAATCATATTTATTACACCTCAGCTCTAGCAATTAAAGTAGTTCATGCATGCACTGTCCCAGAAATAGTTTCATTATTTTCCATATTCTCTTCGGAACTGTCTCCGCTGCTTTCAATAAATTCAGTATCATTAAACTGTGTAAAGTTTTGTTCAGTCTCTGGTACCTCTTCATTTAGACTACCTCCTGTTTTCTCTAATATCTGGTGTATATCTAGAGCTGTACCTGAAAATACAACAATCAAAATAAGTTAACAGGCTGTTTGCTTCATTAAGCTTAAAAATAGAAAATAATGAAATGCAGGGGAATATTACATGTTTGGGGGGTTTTAATGTTAATTTAAACCATATCTTGGTGGTAAGTCCACCTAACTGAATTGCATGGATAACTTAATGGAAATTATCAATTATTTCACAAGTGACCAACTTACTCATCCTGCATGATTTATGATTCAAGTGTGAGATATGTATGAACATTTGACTCAATGTCCGAGATCATTAGACGATATCCGGAACGCAGCAAAATGTGTTTTTCCCAGCTGATCTGTAGGTTCCCCAGCTGATCTGTAGGTACAAACTGACTTTTACCGTTATAGCTTCACGGTGCACTACTCGTCACAATAGATTAGTCAACCTGTTTCGCTTGTTTTTGAAGATGTTACTGTAAAGTGAGTTTGTACCTACATTTTTAGATGGGAAAAACCCAAATGTTCTTAATTCCTGAGTAAGTCTATTGTCACAGAAAAGTATTGTCTGAGCAACTTCTAGATTATAAACTCAATTTTCTCTCTTTAGAGCTAAGCAGGCAGATCAAAAAATAAATGCAAAACTGCTTAACTGATAATAATTTAAAGTACCCATTAAAAGGACTCTATTGTTTGAATTTTTTTTTGACATGACACAACAAGAAATTATTTGTTGAGATTAATGACATTCCATTAATGATTTAGGTCAAAACCAATAACTTGTGTGCAAATTTTAGGATAATTTGCTCACTCTGTTTTCCCAAATAATTATACTTATTGTGAAAATTACCCAAAGTTGAAAATTGTTGCAATGCTTTTCACTCAAATCGGGATAAGAATAGCTCAAAAATATTATGTTTAATTCATCCTAGAGTATATTTCTTAATTATCTTATTTATAACTTTTTGTATTAAAGTGCCCAAGCTGATCTATGTGACAATTTTATATTTGACCTCTGTGGAGTTCCTTTAACTTCACTACCAGGTTTTAATATTTTAATGGTAATATTTATATCAGAAAAAAATAACAACACAGCTACCATTCAGGACAGAATTATACAACTGCTAAAAGTCATCACTTGACTTGAACAATTTATTGGTAAGCAAAAGTTCAACTCGAGCTTACGGAACGTCGGTGGTTCTACTCAGGGTACTCAGGTACGCGTTTGTGCCTGAAATAATGCACGGAAGGGCACCTGAGGTCTTCCTCAACCAGTAAAGCTGGAACGTCACCATATGACCTATACTGTGTTGGTGTGACGTAAAACCAAATAAAACAAATCAATAAAAGTTAACTAAATTAATAGTGAAAAAAGTTGTAAAGGGAGTTAACCAATAAAACTTATAATGATACATAAAATTATTGTTGTCTCCCTTGGGTGAAAAAAAAATCTGAATATGCATTATGAATAAACTTTGTTGTGGGATAAGGTTATCACTACAATTATAATCAAAGTCTTGAAACTATGGCAAATCAACTTTTTAAAGCATAACACACTTCTATAGTCTTAGCATGGACTAAAAAGCATAAAAAAAAATGTGTTAATTTCGGTAACCATAGGTTACCCCATAATAAGCATAAAATAGATAATTCTGCAACAATGACAAAACATTGAATTTATTTTGATTGTTGTTGATTTTTGAGAAATATATATTATAAGTTTGAATAACTTCTTGTCTTTTTTCATCACAAATGAATGTGGAGATGTTTTTGTTTTATCATAGTACTAGATTAAATTATAGTTGGTATGAAATTGAGTAAACCTAGTGAGTTATCTGTTGTTCAGGTAATTCCAACAAGTTTTCAATACTTTTCAACACAATTATGAATTCCATAAATTGTACATTTGTTTATCTGTCAAATCTGATTAAAACCAGCTCTGAATAACACTCCGCTTTTAGATCTGACCGTGACCAAATACGAAGTCATTTTTGGTGACCTTTCACACGCTGCCAATCATCGACGAGCTTTCCTTATTTTGAAAGCGATGCGTTTACTAATTTTAACCCTGGGAAAACCAGTACTGAGTAGGTAATTTTCAAATTTTGGAGAACAAACATGGCGTTGTCCAAATAGCCGACAGGTAAACTTGCAAAACAATCTTTCCCATTAAAAATTAACTCTATTAATTCAAGTTATTTATTAAAAATTACTTCAAACAATTTTTTTTTCTCACAAAAATCAACAATTTGTTTTACTTCTACTACGGATAACAGTATTTTGATACTTCTTCTAATGCCTATCTGTAAAAACCGATTTGATTGCATGCCTTAAAATAGCTCTCTCGGGAAATCGGAATTATAAAGAAGGCGAAACATATACGGTCGTTTTCAGATCTACATGAAAGAAATAAGTAGGTCAACTTTAGTCAGATTGACTATCTGTCATACTGTAACTGACAAAGTCATATGATACAGTTTCTTTTGCTGAAGTTGTTGTGCACTGTAATCAACAAAGTTAGTTTGGACAAGTTTCCTTTTCTTATCACACGTGTATTTAATTGGACAAACATTTATTAGAGAAATATACATACATGTATTATAACTGTATCAATATATACATGTATGTTCAGTATAACTATATCACATCATGAGAACTTGATGATACTATTTTTATGGTTCATTAAGACAGCAAATGTCTGAATTAAAAATGAAAATGAAAAATATGACTGGCAGGCACAGATCCAGGTCATTTTACCAGAAAGGGGTCTCAAAATTATGACAAGTGGAAATGAATAATTCAGACAGCGTTTGGCATTTTCAAAGTTTTCCATAATGACATTTTTGAGCGATTTTCACTCATTTTTAGGTGATTTTCACAAAACATATTACACCACCCTAGAGCAGTAATGCTCTAGCTTCTTATTTAATGATTTAAGAGGAGTTAACCAGTCACTGCACTAAGGTGACATTTAAAGTCCAAAGCTGGGAGGGTTTCCACACAGACACGGGAGGTCAGCTCCTGACCCCCCCCCCCAACATGATATGCCCCTGTAAACACTCTATCTAAACTATTTTAAAGGGACTCAACTGAGGTTTAAAAGCCTAAAAACCAAACATTTACATTTCTTATGTAAATGAGCTGGGGCACTTTAAACAAAAATATATGCAAAGATAGTTAAGAAATATACTTTGAAATAAGTTGAAAATCGTATTTTTATGCTTTTCTTGGCCCGATTTGAGTGAAAAGCGTTTTAAACGCTTTTCATTTTGGGCCATTTTTTTACAATTTGAATAATAATTCTGGAAAAACGAAGTGTGCGAATGATCTGAAATTTGGCACAAAGATAAGTGGTCTAAACCTTCATCAAATGGAACATTTATCTGGAAAAAATATTTTCAGTCCCGTCATGTCAAAAAACCTCAGTGGAGTCCCTTTAATATTTTAACACGAATGGGACATCTATTACAATGATTAAATTGGTTTTCAAACAATTTTTACATAATATATGAAAGTAATACCCTATACCATTAAGTCTCAATAAAGTACTTGACAAGTGACCCCTCATGATTTCTGAACAGAAACAAATGAACTGCCCTGATCCATTGTCACTGAGAAATTTAACCTTGCTGAAGAATCAAATAAGCAAACCTAGATTACTTATCCAATTTTCTCCCTATTTAGCTAAGCTGGTGGACAGTAGTCTGACAACATTAGACAAGCATTGAAAAACTAAAAGATTAAAAACATTCCCTCTCTGAAGAGGAAGATAACCTTGTGAAGAGAAAATGCAAGCAGCTCTTGAACTTATATCTAAAGCAGGTTTCCAAATAAAACTTTCTGACAAAATGATGCATAGTAAATCAAATTGCTTATAGTGTCAACTTGCTAATATATATATTGAGACATTGATGTTTCTGCTGGAATTTAGTTGGTAACGTATTTGTTTTTTATTACAGTGATAACTCCTATCTACTTTCAACAGACATTGTGCCATCTGATCTTATGGTCTGCAGTGTTCACTATTCAGTCGATACATATTTTGAAATTTCCCCTTTAAAGTGAACAATAATTTTGTCCAGATTGAAAATGGACAAGTCCAATGAAGATATTGAGTGTGGTTGGGGTTAATAATCAAATGTTTACGATACCGATCATGTTACCAACCATCTATTTCAAAATCTCTGACCAACTTATCTTATTTTTCACTCACAAATTGTTAAGTTATTGTAATGGATATAAAGTGTTAAAAATACGCAAATAATGAATACATCACAAGAAACTAAAAAAAATCCTTTTTTTTTATTTGATAAAAAAACCCTAACAAATCATCATTATAATTCTTTATAGATATATTTATGTTTTATTTATATTCAAAACTTAGCGTAAATATTTGTTGAATTAATCACAATGTCTGGACTAGTTTGATCATTTACAAGCTGCATTAAAAAAACATGGAGTAAAATTTTATATTGAAATAGTGTTAACTTTGGTCAAGTATTTTCTGCAGGCTATTCAGATAAGAATATTATTTTATTCCAGTGATAAATCAAACACTTTAATGTAACTAAGATTTTGAATCACATATAATCTGTTTGTATTCTGGCAGTATGCCACACCTACTGGTCCATTTATTCCTTGTTCTTTATCCAGTAGAATCTTCACCTTGGTCAGGTCAGATGATAACTGATGCATATTGTGTGACCAACGTCCACATACAAACACTGCCCCAGACCTATCAACAGTTAGTTGACATGGCTCCTTCAACTGGTCATCCTCGTAAACGGCATTGACTCTCCCATCAAAGGTTAAACCTATCACACAGTTTTTCATATAGTCAGATACATATATAATAGTGTTGTCTGCACTGACTGTTAAGAAATGAGGATCAGCAAACAGATATTTCCCATGATGATCTTTATCAAATATTTTCAGTACTTTACCAGATATGTCAATTATCTTCACTGTTGCTGGTATGGTTATGTAAGATAATATAAGCTTGTTGTTACTACAGGCAACACCATAACAACATTTTCCTACTTCTATATCTTCAGTGTTGGTCACACTCATAGACTTAGAGAATGTTATCAGTCTTAACAGTCTAAATTCAGGAAATGTGACAGCAACTTTGTTATTGTCAACTTTAGCAACAACCCATGGTTCTGCATACAGGTATATTATATCATATGATAAAGTGCTGACTGACATATCCTTGAATATAATCAGGCTTCTAAAATCAAAATGAGCAATCAGAAGACAGTTTTCAGATAATAAGCATAAAGATGAAAACCCGTAGCATTTAAATTTAGCATCTGTGTGATAACTTGCAGTTCTTGGTACTTCAGACTCATGTATTTCTTGATAGGTCAACAATTTGTCACAGTCTTGTAAATTGGTTATATTTTGTTCAGATGCTTTGCTTTCTACTTTGTAATAATGAATTGAATTGTTCTGACATTGTTTATCTGCATCTGGTTTCAATTGTTCCACAACTCCTTTACCTTTCTTCATAGCAACAAACAGTTGGCACCTTTGATCTGTAGTTTGGTGATGAATCAGCTCCTTTGATATGGTTCTTAACTTTAATTTCATTTTAGAGGTTGTATCTGTGATTGCCTGCAAAACCTCTTCGTCATCCTTTTTTATGATTTCAATTTTCTTCTTTATTTCATTTTCCTCATCATTAAATAACTTTTCTAATCTATTTTGATGCTCTTGTAATTTTTCAATCTTCTCTTTTTTCTCTTGTTTAAGTATTTTTAAGGTTTCTTCTATCTTTTTGTCAAAGTCATGAATTACTTTATTCTGATGCCTTTCGAACACTGACAATATTTCTTGCTGTTTTTGCATGACTGTATCTAATATCTTTGTTTCTTGTGAAGCAACATAGTTCATGTTTATGTTCACATGTTTTTCTGTATTTTCCAAATCTTTCATTAACCTATCAAGATTTTCAGTGAGTTCTTTAATTTCTTGGCTGTTTTCAATTCCTTGAACAAGAGCTGGCAAATGGCTGACCATACTACAGATCCCATGGTCTTGTGTCTTACATTCAGTACAGGCAAATTTCTTACAAGCTTGACAATAGAACTTGACTAATTCATCTTGATGAACAGAACATTTCTCTAGACAGAAATCCTGTGGCATGTTATCCTTATCCTTGATAGTATGGGAGACCAATAATCTTTTATGGAACTTCACACATGTTCCACACAAGTACTCGAAACACTCTTCACAAAATCCCTCAGCAGGAACATATTGCTTGTCATGTTTATCACAATGTTCACAAAACATTTCCTGAACTTCATCAGAGTCCTGTGTAAATGAGGTACTGAAATCACTTCCAATTGAAAATGCCATAATTCAGGTACTTTGGTAAACACACACTTGAGTTTTGTTTAAAATAATCTCAATATTTAAAGTAATGTTGATATCAAATCATTATTATCTATGATAACTAGATCATCACATGGTTATCCCATGACAAATTTTACACAATCATAACTTTCCTATCATAAGGTAATCAAATTAGGTCAGTGTTTTGATTGTTAAAATGTACATTCCTTGTTTCAAATAAATTTTTATTATCTTTTCAGGGTGTATCAAACTTGGTTGATAACAATTTTTAAAATGAATAGAAGTTGTTTACTATGTATAATAGGCTGCATATGAATTTGAAATAGACTTCACAATTAAACTGAATGAAATTCTCTGAAAGAGTTTATTACAAGCGCCAGTCTCCCTACGTTTTGGACTTCTTGTTGATATCTCTTGTAGTTTTAGAGTTATGTGCTGGACCAAGTTCACAGTGTAAAAATGAAAACAAAGGGCAATAACTCCAAAATTAGGCAAGACAGAGTTACAGTTCTTTTGCACTGCACTTCTACTCAATGAGATATATCTACCTACTAAGTTTGTTGTGGATATTTTGTGGTTTCAGAGTTATGTCCTAGACAAAGTTCAAAGTGTAACAAGAGCCATCGCCGGGCAGGGGCAATGCTCGACTTTTTACTAACGTTTCCTATTATAAATTAAATCGGTGTGTCTTGTCACATTAGTTTTGTCAATGTATGAATACTATTATAGTATATCCCCATGTGTTTTACAGAAGAAAAAAAAGGAAAAGATATATATGTATATATATATATTAGTTTACCAGTCCTGTTTCTTTCAAATATATACTATTCATGGTGTATGTTGAAGGCTCCAACAATATTGTCTCTTTTTTTCGTTGATGTTTTTGTTGTTGTTGTTTCGTTTTGTTTTTTAGTTAGTGGGAATTTGAATGCCAAGATAAGAAGTCAAAATGATACATACAAGCAATTTGCACTTAATTTGCTCTTGTTTTCTGTTTTTCTCAGTGTGTTCTGTTTTAAAGTTTATGTGGTTTTTTGTAGTGCCACATACAAAAAGGTAAATGGCACAGGTACCAACATAAGTAAATAACTAAAACCCCTTTATGACCTTGAACTATAATTTTGCTTAAGAATTTACCTTGTGGTATATCATAGCCCTTTTCAAGTCCATGTGGGTTTGATGGTGTGACACAGTCTAGATTTACTTCCTTCCGTAGACACTGGTCAATATCAACAGCACTGAAGAAAGCCACAGTCTGAAAATGCAACATTCTATAAATAACTTTTATTATTACAACATCAAATATTAAAATGTATGTGTATCACACATAGAAGATGACATGAGTTGCCATTTTAAACACAAGCCGGTTGAACCGGGTGATGTCTCTAAATAGGTTTTGGAAACAGAAAAGTATACTTTTGTAGTTTTAGAGCTATGTCCTAGACAAAGTTCAGAGTGCAATAATTCCAAACTTTGGCAAGGCAGAGTTAGGGTTACCCAATGAGATCTATCTACCTACAAAGTCTCATGTTGATATCTCTTATAGTTTAAGCAAAGTAAAAAAATTAACAACGGGCAATAATTCCAAAATTAGGCATGGCAGAGTTACGGTTTTTTTAGCACTGCTCATCTACACAATGAGATCTATATACCTACAAAGTATCATGTTGATACCTTTTGTTGCTTCCGAGTTATGTCCTGTACAAGAAAAGCAAATGGACGTACGGACAATGGGGCGACTAAATGCTCATCATATGCTCACCTTTCGGGTAGCATAAAACCAAAAACATTAAGGAAAGCAGGTTTAGAAAATATCATAGAGTAAGTGTATATTTGTAAATGTTTCGATGAAACATCAATAATTGTCAGATTCTTTCATTACATGATCAGAACAAGTATCTTTGTGTTTACATTTAAATTACATTAATATAAAGGGGGATCCTTAGCAGAGTTGTATAGGTCATTAACTTCAAACCACTTGCCCCTTACAGCTGTGGGCTCGAATCCAGACAGGAAGTTTGGATTCTTCCATATGAGGAAGCTATCCAGCAAGCTTATAGAAGTGCCCGTTTTTGCCTGAAATAATACACAGAGGAGCACCTGAGCTTCTTCACGAATTTTTGAGGGCTCCGAGAAGCCCTTCTCGGGCCGCCATTAGCCTTCTCTGTGCCTGACTCGGCCCTCTGTATAAAAATGGCCATTATGATAGAACGACATGTATTATCGGGAGAAAAGGCGTTATAAAACGTTATATAAGTTTGACACGATCATGTCGGGTGGGTCTCTTGGCTATTCCTACGGCGGATAACTCCGGACTATGAAATATTGTTTCGATAGAACGACATGTAGTATCGGGGAAAAGCCCTTATAAAATGTTATAAAAGTTTTAAAGATCATGTCGGGTGCGTTGCTTGGCTATTCCAACGGCATTTAATTCTGCCGACGACGAGGGCTGAAATGAGCTCGGACTGTGAAATATTGTTATGATAGAGCGACATAAAGTATCGGGAGAAAAGCCGTTATGAAACGTTATAAAAGTTTGAAACGATCATGTCGGGTGCGTTGCTTGGCTATTCCGACGGCGTTTAATCCCGCTGCCGACAAGAGCTGAAATGAGCAATGCAAATGCCTAAGGTCATTTTAAGATAGGTACACAGAACGTGAACCCTAAGACTCTCTATTGTGGTCGCATTGTGTCCGGTCTGCTATTTTTCAAAGATGAGTTTTAACTCCGCCTACGACGGTCCTCAGCCCGTGATAAAAGGAGGAAGGTTGCAGCATGTGTACATTGTCTCACACGTGCTTGCAGAAAAACTCATACTTTATAGGAAGCACAAATGCCCAACATGACTAACTCTGTAAGCTCATCAGGTCAAGGGGTTGTTGCCGTAGAGTTTATTTACTCTACGTGGTATATCGTCTCTGTAGATCTTCCAGTGGTTGCTGGTTTGTCTTCTGTCAGATCTATAATATTGATATCTTGTTTTGGTTCATCTTCAGTCAGATCTATAAAATTATTAATGTGTTGTCCTTGGCTTTTCTTCAGTCAGATCTATTATGTCTTGTCCTCCGGTCGTTTCTTCGGTTTTTTTTTTCCATATCGTTTGGGTGAGTAATTGGACTTGCAATACGTAAGTTCTTGGTTTTGGAACACTCTGATCGTCCTGATCGTCTTCGTCTTCAGTCAGATCTATATATATATTCTCTAGTTCGGGTGAATCCCGCCTCCTCAAAATGTTTCATTAATATCCTACGGTTATTTTTACAGTAATGAATCCGAGGTAGCGCCTCCAACTAAAAATTGCTCACAATGGGGAGCAATTGAATGCATACTTGTTTTGATTGTCTTCAGTCAGATCTATATAATTATATATGATTCTCTGGCCAGGGTAAACAAACGCAAACACACACACAATGAAATTGTCTTCAGATATATCTAACTTTAAGCTTCGGCTAAAATCCCGCCTCCTCACAATTGTAGAAAGCAATTGAAGAACTATGTAAGATCACTGTTGATAGTGACATTCAAAGAGCAGCCGATTTTAGAAAGGCTATGCAGTATCTAACTTCAAGCTTCGGGTGAAATCCCGCCTCCTCACAATGGTGAGCAATTGGACTTGTAATACGGGTATCTTAGTTGTATTGTGAGGGGTTGTCTCCTTCTTAAGCGTAGTTTTTGCGTGTGTTATCCATCATTGTTGTTGTTTTTTTAAAGCGTAGTTGTGGTATGATATAGGTCCTTTTTTCCTTTTTCTTGAATTATTATTACCTTCCGCCTAACAAGTGTTACATACGTTTTCAACATCCGCAATGGATTGCGTAGTTGATGGTAGAACTATGGAAGAGAACAGGGTCCCGGTTCATCCTGCTTTACTATCCCCTTTCTGACTTTTTATTTCTTGTCTATCTTTCTATCTTTCAAAAGTATTGATTGTTTGTACCAACGTTGGAGAATGTGTCCATTTTTGTACTTTGATTTTTTTTAACTTTTTGTAAAGTGATAAGAATGGCAAAGTACGGTGGAGGGACGGGCGGTGGCTCAAAGGGCTTACATACCGCCAGACAGAAGGGGGAATTCGCTACGTCCCCTTCTTTTCGCCGTGAAAATAACAGTCTGGTTGTTTGTACCCACGTAGGAGAGTGTCCATTTTCTTTTCTTTTAATATAAGGTGACTATACGGGTCAACCCTTGAAATATACCCGAAAAGGGCTCAATTTAGCTCAGTGCTGCCAATTCTTTTTGACTTGACTCGAATTATTTTAATTCTCAAATATTCCCTATTTACCTCTAAAAATTATATATTAACAGTTATTTTAACAATATTTTCCAATGCATTTTATTCTGGATTAAAAATCGGTGTGATTTACACATTAAGTACTGCTACCCGGTAATCACCTTATTAACACATTATTAGATATACTTAACATTATAATTCCTCGTTATGATTCTATACTTTACAACTGATATAATTATATTTTGAATAAAATATTACAACAAGAGGGCCATGATGGCCCTGAGGTCGCTCACCTGTATATAGGCCCCCCCCCCCAAACGTTGCAGGGCCAATTTAACCAAAGGGCTTTTATTTGCACAAACTTGGTAGACACCCATAAGAAGATGTTTCATGCTAAACATCTAAGCTCTAGCTCATTGGGCTTTTAAAAGAAGATTTTTTTTAAGTTTTTACTATACACATATAGTTAAAAACAATAACACCCCTGGGGCCGGGCCAGTTATGACCCCAGGGTTTTTATTTGAACAAACTTTGTAGACACTTACTAGAATATGTTTCATTCTTAATATCTAAACTCTAGCTATTTGGGTTTTTTCAAAGAAGATTTTAAGTTTTTGCTATACACATATAAGGAAAATCAATGACCCCGGGCGGGGCCAATTTTGACCCCAGGTCTTTTATTTGAACAAACTTTGTAGACACTCACTAAAAGATGTTTCATGCTTAATATCTTAACTCTAGCTATTTGGGTTTTTTCAAAAAAGATTTTTTAAGTTTTTTGCTATACACATATAAGGAAAATCAATGACCCCCGGGGCGGGGCCAATTTTGACCCCAGGGCTTTTATTTGAACAAACTTGGTAGACACCTATTAGAACATGTTTGATGCTAAATATCTTAACCATAGCTCTTTGAGTTCTTTAAAAGAAGATTTTTTAAGTTTTTACTATATGCATATATAGGGAAAATCAATGACCCCCAGGGGCGGGGTCAATTTTGACCCCAGGGCTTTTATTTGAACAAACTTGGTAGACACTTATTAGAACATGTTTCATGCTAAATATCTTAGCTCTAACTCTTTTGGTTCTTTAAAAGAAGATTTTTAAGAGTTTACTATATGCATATAGGGAAAATCAATGACCCCCTGGGGCGGGGCCAATTTTGACCCCAGGGCTTTTCTTTGAACAAACTTGGTAGACACCTATTAGAACATGTTTGATGCTCAATATCTTAGCCATAGCTCTTTGAGTTCTTTAAAAGAAGATTTTTTAAGTTTTTACTATATGTATATAGGGAAAATCAATGACCCCCCTGGGCGCCAGGGCTTTTATTTGAACAAACTTGGTAGACACTCACTAGAAGATGTTTCATGCCAAATATCTAAGCTCTAGCTCTTATGGTTTTTTAAAAGAAGATATTTAAAGTTTTTTTCTTTCGGTTGCCATGGCAACCAGAGTTCTGCATTGAATTAAATTCTTTGAACAATTTTTAAAAGTGACCACCAAAGGAACATTCCTGTGAAGTTTGGATGAAATTGGCCTTGTGGTTTATGAGGAGATGTCATTTAAAGTAAAAGTTTATGGACGCCGGACGCCGGACGAAAAGCGATCACAAAAGCTCACCCTGTCACTTTGTGACAGGTGAGCTAATAAAAATTACAATTAAAACGTATGTAATGTCTTTTTCTATAAGGCACTTTATTTAAGTATATTTACGAATAAAGTCTATATTCAAGTATTTAAAATAAATAAGTTTCTAACTAAAAAAATAAAATTTCGAGCACATTCTTTTTGAAGGCGTTGTCCATCTTGTTGAAAACCATCCCGCCTAATACTTTTGCACAATGTGCCATTCTCTGCATAACAAGACATAACTTTCTACTACAATTTACCATTATCAAACAAATGCGCTTGTTTGCACAACAAGAGCTGTCGGTAGGACAGCAATGCTCGACTATTCTTAGTGCTTGATAGTAAAAAAAAATGCTTGATACAGTTACCTCCTCCTGTTAACAGGTTGGGGTAATGATGGTGAACAAGTGTGCAAAGTTTCAAAGCCATATGTCAATGAACTTTGAAAATATTTGAGGTATTACAAAAACTTTAACATAAATTCTAAGTCGAAAAAGGGGCATAATTCTGTCAAAATGCTTGATAGAGTTACCTCCTCCTGTCTACAGGTTGGGGTCATGATGGTGAACAAGTGTGCAAAGTTTCAAAGCCATATGTCAATGGACTTTGAAAATATTTGAACTATTACAAAAACTTTAACATAAATTCTAAGTCGAAAAAGGGGCATAATTCTGTCAAAATGCTTGATAGAGTTACCTCCTCCTGTTTACAGGTTGGGGTCATGATGGTGAACAAGTGTGCAAAGTTTCAAAGCCATATGTCAATGGACTTTGAAAATATTTGAACTATTACAAAAACTTTAACATAAGTGGTTACGCCGACGCAGACGCCGACACTGACGCCGACGCTCGGGTGACTGCAATAGCTCTACTTATTCTTATCGAATAGTCGAGCTAAAAATTGGGTTTAGATTTTAAAATATGGAGAGAAACAAGAGCTGTCGGTAGGACAGCAACGCTCGACTATTCTAGTGCTTGATAGTAAAAAATAATGCTTGATAGAGTTACCTACTCCTGTTTACAGGTTGGTGACATGATGGTGAACAAGTATGCAAAGTTTCAAAGCCATATGTCAATGGACTTTGAAAATATTTGAGGTATTACAAAAAAACTTTAACGTAAATTCTAAGTCGAAAAAGGGGCATAATTCTGTCAAAATGCTTGATACAGTTACTTCCTCCTGTCTACAGGTTGGTGTCATGATGGTGAACAAGTGTGCAAAGTTTCAAAGCCATATGTCAATGGACTTTGAAAATATTAGAGGTATTACAAAAACTTTAACATAAATTCTAAGTTGAAAAAGGGGCATAATTCTGTCAAAATGCTTGATAGAGTTACCTCCTCCTGTCTACAGGTTGGGGTCATTATGGTGAACAAGTGTGCAAAGTTTCAAAGCCATATGTCAATGGACTTTGAAAATATTTGAACTATTACAAAAACTTTAACATAAATTCTAAGTTGAAAAAGGGGCATAATTCTGTCAAAATGCTTGATAGAGTTACCTCCTCCTGTCTACAGGTTGGGGTCATGATGGTGAACAAGTGTGCAAAGTTTCAAAGCCATATGTCAATGGACTTTGAAAATATTTGAACTATTACAAAAACTTTAACATAAGTGGTTAGGCCCACGCTCGGGTGACTACAATAGCTCTTCTTATTCTTATCGAATAGTCGAGCTAAAAATGCTATATGGGTAGCTGTTTGCTATCAGAAATATCGTACCCAGTCAAGAAAGATGTAATGCCAAGAATGGAACATAGTGCAAATTACCAAATGGAGGTTGCATCTTGCACATAGAAACACTGATGTCAACGTCACTGGGTCACAATGTTTTGAATGACTCACTTGTGTCAGAACTAGAGGTATTTTAAAAGGCAACAGTCTTGTATTTTTTACTACAAAAGTGAATGACATTTCTTGATAGAAAATACTGCAGGATTATTATAAAGAGAACAAGACTTTTCAAGTTTCTTAAATGATTTATACATATTGCTCAACAAAAAACATAATAAAAGAGAGAATTACAACAAAATACAGGAGTGAAAATTCATATACATCAGGGATGATCTCTCTTGTTTTAAAAATACAACAGTTACAGATAGGAATTACAAAAAGAAACGAGCACTTAAGATAAAGATAAATTTTTGTAAACTATTTCATCAACTATAAATAATGCATAAACATACTTCAAATTCAATGACAAGAGCATCTGAATAGGTTCCTCGCATATTATTTAACTTATTACTTATAATGCAGTAGAACTTTGATATTCTCTCCATCATAATAAATACAAACTTCTATCAAAACTTGCTAATTTTAGTTATTTAATAATTTCTCATGTCTGAGCTACAAAACATTACCTAAATTAAAATCAAACAAACAAGATTTTCATCCCTTCCAGGCACTTGCATTTCATTGTGCAATTAATCTATTCATTTTAAAATAAAAAGCAACAATGAAGCAATTAAGACAAGATAGTTATTGTACAAGAAATACCCTTATTAACACATTCTTCAGATTTTAAAATAGATGAACTAAAGACAACAGGCAGTAATGATAATAATCTAATTATCAGCATAATATAATACTTACATTTTTTTGAATGTGGAGATTTATATTTAAGGATAAAATTAAAGGGTCAATAACAACATGTAATATATATATTCTCTCTATGCTGAGTTAACATCAATGACTTATTCACCTTTTAATCTGGGACAGTTTATAAGTAGTTGAAAAGATTTCAGTATCAATACTTAACAGTATGACTGTGCTGGCACCACTCTTAGATGATAGTATAGACATACTTAATATCAACATAATCATTCAAATGGTTAACTTTCATTTTCATGTAAACATGTTATTGTCGAAACTTGATTTCCCCAGATTAACAAATTTAAAGCAGAATTTTCAACTTAAATTTTATATTTTTGAATAATTTTCACTTGTAACAATTGTAACAAATCCAATGGGTCAAGTTATAACTATACATGGCTAGAACTTATGGATCCTTTACCAATATCTTATTAGACTATAAAGGTCTACTATAATTTAAACATTTGTGAATCAATTTTAATGTAAAATTATAATGTAAAATCTACTTCAGGTCAAACAACAACAGCTATGAAGTGGGTGGGTTTTCAATTAATTTCACAAAATAAAATAACATCTTAAAGGGAGACTACTGTACCTGTTCATAGAACCAACAAACAGAGCTACGGGTAGACTCACAACAAGCTGTCAACACGTACATATTAAAGTCCCACAACATATACTGATTTAACATTGCAATACACTTCAAAAAATACATAAAACAACACAAGTACTTAACAGATAAACATCTCTCTTAAAATAAATAATATTTCATGTAATTTTTTTCCCAAACAATTTCACATATGTACTACTCACTTTATACAAGACAGTACAATACTAGACTATGTCATTCTATCTTTTTTACACATAGACCACTTTTGCTTTGAACACTGTTGTAAAATATCATAGATAAATTCTAAGTTATTGAAATAACACATATATTTGTGTTTGGGTGAATAATAATAATAATTTTGAAAGTATCAATTATTTATCTCAGTATACTTTAAAGATGTATTTTTGGTGAAAATGCTAAAAAGGTTCTACACATACAATTTGTGAAGTTAACAGGTTCAAAAATGACAGTAAGCAAAGAATTTCTTGATTGGTCCCATCATAACCTAACCACATACAACAATAGCCTTCTTTTTTTAAAGAATTTTAAATACATATATCATACAAGTTATAAGAAATAGCCTAAGATAACATATAACATATGAAAAACAAAAATAACAATGTTTGTTCATTATTGTGTTATATAAACCTCTCTCTTTGTCCTTTCTTTAACAGAAATATATCAATGAGTTTATTCTCTTTGTCCTTTCTTTAACAGAAATATGAGCAGCGTCACGACAAACCAACATAATGGGCTTGCGAACAGCATGGATCCAGACCAGCCTGCGCATCCACGCAGTCTGATCAGGATCCATGCTGTTCACTTACAAGTAGAGAAACTGATAGCGAACAGCATGGATCCTGATCATACTGCGCGGATGCACAGGTTGGTCTGGATCCATGCTGGTCGTAAACACATTATGTTGCTTTTGTCGTGACGCGGCTCATATATTAATGAGTTTAGGTTGTACATGAACTTATTCTATGTAGTATAAGTCCTCTCTGATTTCATTTGTTCTCAAATAAGAACATGGACATCTCTTTCTCTATATCTCTATGATTTTATTGTATGACAAATAATGTTCAACATGGCAATTCAAATTCTAGGTATTACATTTTTTTTTTTTTTTTGGTTTTTCAGCTTTTCATTGTTTCATGCCTTTAAAGCACTATTTTGATGAAGTATTATTTACTGAACTATATCACCAAACAAGTGTTTTTTTTTCTAGTATTTAAATAGTTAACCATAAAGGCTGTCTCTATATTATTAAATTTAATTCAGTCAGTGCCAGAGAAGAATATGGTTTTAAATATATTGTCTTCACAAAATTATCAACAAAGATAAATTAATGCCATGCCAGCAATGCACAAATCCCTAGACCTAAAGCTTATTTTTAGCTTTATGGTAGATAAAGAGGCACATTTTAGCAAAATTTAAGAATGTCAAAAATAGTGGGTTATGACATTAGACTTAAACCCTTGTAAGCTCAGATTTATGTAAAAACCCCTTTGTACATTAAACTATGTAAAGTCAATAAATGGGACTAATTATCCACCTATTATTTACAGAACATATTTATGTCACACTATATTTATTATCTTAACAAATCATTAATACTGATTACTTTAAGCATTCCAAGCAGCGAGTAGTTTTTACAGTATGACAGAGATATATGTTTATGTAAGGAATTTGTTTTCTTGTTTTTTGGTGAGAAATAATTATGCTGTAAAAGATTAAATCATAGAGAACACCTTGCTAACTTAACATCACAGTTTATAGCTGTTGTGTAAATTATGTTCTCAGAAGTATAATATAAGCATTTACATGTACAAAACATCTGATGATGTATGACCAATGTGGAATGACAAAGCACTGCCATTTGTGTCCTTAATCACTACAGTTAATGACAGCAATAAGCACATACAAGATAGTTCTACAGATGTAAAAACCTGGCTTTAGTTTTTTCCCCCTTTACATCTGTGACACATCCCAACTGCCACCTTTCTACTGACACACAATAGCATCAAAGCAAGCTATACCTCATATTTATATGGTTTAAACTATTTGTATAACAAACTCATTTTACAGTAACACTGATGCAAAAATAGTGCACCAAATAAAAAATGTGACAATGACAAATATTACTCTGCATTTGTTCTTATATAATAAGATAGAACTATTAATGTGTACCTTAAAATGTGTATGTGCTACAACAAATAAAACTGTCTATAATAACAAAATTTCATACTACGTAATATTGGTAACAGTGGAATAAACCTGTTATCACAATCATTTCCTAGAATCAAGTTAATAAATGTCCGACCAGTTCACTTATAAGCAGTTAAGCACATGCAGTACCACCGACTTACATGGCAGCCATTATCAAATTCTATCAACATTCATAATCTCCAGACTACAGGTTATTCCATTTGTAACACAAATTTAACATCTTTGTAATTATCTAATGGCTTCTTTGAAATTGTTTCAATTGTTTTAAAGTATCAAGACTAAATCATTCACTAAAGTTACACAGTACATCACACTTCAAGTTTCCTCCTCTCCAATGACTTAGTACTTGCCACCAGTTCCATACTGGGAGGCCGCACCTCTCACCGCACCTTGTGCAGCGGACGACGCTGCGTTAGCTACTCCACTCTGTACAGCCTCATTTTTCATCACTCCTGTAGCAAACTCTTGCTGTGCTTTGGCAAAACTGGCTCCAGTACTTCTGTAGATTCTATGTACCTATATAATATAGAAAATATAACATGTTTAATGTCTTCCAGCATCTAAAAACAACAACAGCAAAACATCCTTGTAAAACTGACTTATATTGTATACATTACATACCTAAATATCAAATTCGTGAATTTTTAAATCTTTGATTGAACCTTTTGAATTATGTACAATTTTAAGTTAACAATGTTGATCTTATAAAATATGAAATGTACACAATTGTATTAAAAGTCTATGATAAAATAATTTTTCTTTTAAAAACAGTAAAGAGTTCATTCATCTATAAGTACAATTAAAGAAGCCATTTTAATTTACATCTGTATTATTAATTCTGATCAACATTATTTAAATTATAAATATAAATTTGTGTTACATTTAAATGCATTAATCAGAATTTAATAAATCTTTAGTCTTATTTTACTTATATATACAGGGATAAATGTTTCATGTTTCAAAATATATAGGTGTTTGTTCATCATGCTATAAATTTAAAAGCTTAAAAAAAAACATTGTATGTTTTGTTTTTGTTTATTATTGACCTTAATCAATTTTGATAAATACATTTTTATATATGCATTTTACAACAAAGAGATAATCTGATAAACACACAATTTGACAATATTGTAAAGATAAATACACACAATTACAGTATATTTAATAACAGATCAATTTGGTGATATCTTAACTATTTTATCAATTAATTATCAATTAACAACAAATTAAAACAAAATTTTCATTACCAGGTTACAGATCATGTATTTTTTTTGTTTATCAATTTATCTTGTTTATATTGAAAATAAAGAGAGTCAGATGCAATTTTTTTATCAACCATTATTTACAGCAACAATTTTTTTATATAATAAAAGACACTGGAATACATTAATTCAATAAATCCATTTTTTATACTGAACTTAAATAATTTAACTTCTTATTTCAAATCTAATAATTTTGAATTTGATGAAAATTTAAGTTTTAAACATATTTCAAATTCTGGAAATGAAATTAAGTTCTCAGTTTTTCTTCATGAAATTCTAATATAGAACAAAACTTGTTCATACTTAAACAATCATTTCTACTTTTCTCTTTTATTTAGTTTAAGTGTCCGTATATTGATGGTGCTTAGGTGATACACAAATGTCGCACAAAAATCCATCATATATAGCTTTTAATAATGAATAAGAGGACAGAGCATATATTGTGAAAAAGGGGGATCAGTCTCTAGTTAGTTATGCTTTTGAAACAAGAGCTGTTGGTAACACAGCACTCTCCACTATTCTAAGTGCTTGATAGTAAAACAAGAGCCTGGATTATGTAGAATTTTCTAGGTTCAGAAAGAGCTATAATTAAGTCAAATCTATGTTAGAGTTATGGGCCTTGGACAGTGACCCTCTATTATGCTCTCAGTTTCAACCGAAGTCCTTCAGTAGTTCAAGAGATACCAACATGCTGTCAGCAGTTCAGGAGATACCAACATGCTCACAAAAAGTTAACCAAAGTGTGATGCTGACACCTGGGTGAGTACAGTAACTCTCCCTTTTCCTGGAACAGTCAAGCTAAAAATGGAAAAAGGTCTACAGACAAACCAGTCTTGCACTATGTGTAAACTGAGTTTCTTAGCAATGGATTTTATCATTTATTGATTTTAGATTTTGATAATGTTAGATCTTGAAAAGTCAGAGACTGAACAATTTTAACCTATTTTACTGTGTAAAATTTTACCAGACAAGAATTTTCAGAAAATTTTGCATTGACACATTTTAAGCCAATTAAAATTGAAAACAATAGATAAGATTTTTTTCCAAGTCATATTGTTTCAATATCATTTCCCTTCCTGGACAAACCAGTACTGAGGCAAGCCTATTGCTTTGGTAGGGCTAAAATCCATGATATCACAATACACCACAACAAGCCCCCTTCAAATTACATATGTTTGTAACAAAGTATTTCCTGAGGCTATTGTAAGTCCATGAAAATGTGTATACCTTTAACAACATAATAATTTCTGCCGCGGCACAAATGGAGAAAAACAGCGCCACAAACATCATGACCGCCCCAGCTGCGGTATGCTTACCAATTATTGTTAAAGAATTTATCCAGCCTCTAAAAATACATAATAAATTTGGGGAATAACACAGGTGCGCATATTGTGAGAAGTGAGAAAAGCTACAGAGTGTTGGTGTACAGCGGGACATAAATATCATATAGACATAGGTCTGTGATAATGAGGTCATTCACTAAAGACTGGTTGCAACATTTCCTGTAAATTCCAAAAATACAGAGAAAAAAAAGAGAACATGCACATTAATTTCATTATGATTTGGCAACTGTAATAAAGGCTAAAGAATAAATCTAAAGCTAAGCAAACTATCAACCAGCTGCAAAATTTCTCACTAGTACTAGCAATAGCTCAAAATAATGCACTGCTGTGGAAACTTTTTCTTTATAATGTACAAGATAGTATCAACTTCATAATTTCAAATGCTTGCTTTGTAAACTCATTTTCCTAAGTGAAGTTTGTTGAAGAAGGTTAAAGGGTTTAAATGTTAGTGAAGTATAAACGTGAAGAAAATAATAATTGATAAAAATATGGAAATTTCTCATTTAGCGGGAAAATCATCTAAACTATCATTTTTGAGTGGAAAGAATGAGTAATAATCTTTTCTCAGTTTCTTTATTGTGGAAAATTCATGACCATAACTACTATAAAACTGGAAAAAAGATAAACCATATACCCCTTCAATCTAAAATAGATAATTTAATAAGAAAGTTAAGATTCCGAGCAATGCAAATATTCCTGGCACTATAAGATCATGGTTGCTGTTGTTGTTTTTTGTCCCAAGTTTGGTACATTGTACTTTGACCATCAAATTAATTACCATTATTATTTTTATTAAATATTACAAATTGACTTTATCACAAGTCATGCATTAAAATCAATACTTTTTACATTTGTATGTTTTATGCAATAAACTTTGAACTTAATGTCACCCTGCCAATTTAGAAAAGGTAGTTTAGTTTATCAATGAAATGTTTTATTTACTAAATACTCAAGCTCTAGTAAATTTAGTTTTAAAAGACTAAAATTAGTAAAATTTCAATAACTGCAAGATATTTAAGAATATTCACTATTAGGTTTAAAAATGTAATAAAATCATAAACTTAATAAGTATTAATATTCAAAATAGTCTTCAGTGGGAAAGTTTCATGTGCAGTCTTATGCTGCAGTGTTTAAGCAATTTTTTTTCCAAATATTTTAAGGAGACAGAATAAGTTAAATTACAGATTTTTAACTTAAACATTTTAAAGACTCAGTATGCCCCAGAAATGCTTTTATTTTTATTTCTTCAAAACTTTTTGTGTGCATTTTTGATAGTTTCCACAAAGTAACTTTTTTTTGCAATTAATACAGTTATAGTGATTAAGTCAATGGAAGTCAAAATACTACTTTGTTTACATTTTTCTACTTTTATGACATATTATTTCAAATTTAGTGCCACTGTCTTCATGTAACAAGCATCCAACATGCTCTAAAACCAATTATTTACACATTACAAAATTCATGTTTGCTCTTTCTAAAGAAGTTGAAATTTTATAATTTCTGAGACATAATGTGCCTTTAAACTTTTATCTTTAAACAGTGTCATTTTCTAAACATCAGAAATAGAACAGAAATAAAAGAAAACTGTCAAAAATACTGACAAGGAAAGATTGATGAACAAATAAAAATAAAGATATAAAATTTCTCCTCAACATAAAACTACTCTGCAAAATAATACTCAATATTCAGGAAATGACACAACTGTTAGTGATTTACTGTATGCTTTTCTATGAATATTTTGATTGCATTCAAATCAAATCTTATTTTCAAATTACATTTTTAATTCAAATTTAATTCCCTATTTCAGTTAAATGAAAATTATATAAAATTATATCTATTTTGTATTATAAATATTCTTTTATTCAAGCCAACACATCTTTGTTTGTATTTTATTACCGAAGTTTATAATACAGTAGCTTTACAATCTTGAAATATTTTTTTCTTTAAGTTGCTTTATAATTGTTTTTAAAAAAGCTCAAATGTGACTACAAGAGGTTAAAGACAGGAAAAGGAATGGGATGGTACTGAAATGTAAATTGGGAGAAACAATTATTCAAGAAATAACATTTGAAATGCAAACAAAATCATCACCGCTCAAAAACAATAAAAATACCTTAAGTAACATGACCATTACTGCTACACATGTAAGGGTGAAAAATAGAGCAACAATCAACATTAACACCCCCGCTCCTGCATTGTTGCCAACTGTTTTAAATGCTGTTATCCATCCTCTACAAGTATATGTTAATTTATGTATATCTTAGCTAACTTTAACAGTATATCTTAGCTAACTGTAACAGTATATCTTCGCTAACTTGAACAAAGTCTATGTTCCTATATAAATATAGATACTATCTGCTATTCTACGTACTATCTGAAATGTAAGCAAGCCTTCATTAGGTTATAGGAATATCACTCCAGTTACTATATAAATATTCAACCATACCATATCAATCAATACACACTGGCATACAATATATATAGTGATAATACGCAAGTCAGATGCAGAGAATCCTCAAAATAGACCTGGCTATTTTTAGGTCAATATACACGATGCCAAAGACTAAAGAAGTAATATACTTTGATGAAACAAATGAAGAATACTAAAACGAAGAAGAGCCTCAATCACAGCCTTAACAAACACCACAATGCATTGAACAATTTGAGAATGATGCCACCAATAAATGTAAATTAAGTATAACATAGTCAATTCATGCTTGATAACTTTGACAAACTCATAACCATGAAGGGTCATGTCATTTGAAATAAATATTATACTGTATTCTTTTCCCTTTTTTTAAATTAGATACTTAGTTCACAACCTGTTCTATATTTTGACTATGGAGGAAATTAATTATTTAAATTCAATGTTCATATAAAACAATATGCTTTGAAAGAAAGTGCAAATAACCTTCACATTGATATAGAAATTGTACATATATATGTAGGGAAAGAAGTGGGTTGTTTGTGGTTGTTTTGTCCGTCAAATTCTGAAAGTGCATTTTGCATTATGCAAGGGAGATAATAACACAGGAGGTTAAAGCTGCAGAGTATACACAATTGCCTGGGTTTGATGTTTACCTTAACTAATAAGAAAAACACTGCACCGGCACAAAGAGACAAGAAAAAGGCAACTATTAGCATAAGTGCACCAGCACCATTATCTTTTCCTATAATTTTGAACCCATTTATCCAGCCTCTGTAAAGATAAATGTAAAATACCAGCAAACAAGAAATATGATTTTCATAATATACTATCAGACTTTTTTTTGTGTAACGTAACTCGAAATAATTTCAAGCAAATAGAATTTTGAATTCAATAAAACCCTTCATAGCTTCATAGCACAACCAATGATTTTAAACAAAAAAAAAATTCTTTGGGATTTGAAAATTGTATGCACTATTTTGTAAACAAGTAAACTGATATTACTGCATACATGCTAGATTATATTGAACCCATCTTAAGAATTTCCTTCCAAAACCGAAGGGACGCAATTAAAAAGCAAATCATCATGTAAAATTGATTCTCATAACCATGTTGTCTGGAAAATAACATGCAATATCCCTAAAAACCAAAATGAGAAAAGCAAATTATCAACAAAAAAAAAACACGGGGAAAAAAAAAACGCAATAGGATCTTCACCATCCATGCTACAAACTAAACGACATAGAAAATAAGCTTGGTGGAAAATAGGCTAAACTTATACTATAAATAGAATATATAACCTTTTTTTCACCAAAACATTTGCAACATAATACAAGGCTGCATTCCAGTCACCATTTAATTGAATCAACTACATGTATATACATATATTTTACCTATTATACTTATGAAAAACATCCCTGAACTGCTTAAACTGACTTTATTTTCCATTCTAAAAGTTGACCTCATTGTATAAAATATTAACCACAATTTGTGTAAGTTTCATTTTTGCAACAAATAATTGCTATCTAAAAGCACAAAAATGTCCCAAACCAAATGGATATACAGTATTAAAGTTGTATGGAAGAGAACATAGAATATTTTAGAGTTGATTCAGTTAGACAGTGTACAAATTCAAATATTGCAGAAATCACTCAGTACATAACTGATACATGCTTTAATATTTATCAACAAATTACTATAAACTGGGGAATATTTGCAAGAATTCTATCTATTCAGACCATATATTTGTCAGCTACAGTACTCAAAGATTAGAATTACAAACTCTCTGATACCCGTTGTTTTACTTGAAGGTAAAAGCCGATACTTATTTTACTGAAGCTTGTTGGGCTAACATAACATACACTTATTTTTGTTTCCCATATCTTGCCATTTTTAAAACTGTATAATAGTATATATTTAACAAAGCAAAACTAACTACTGGATGAAAACAACATTGATGCAAATACTCCCAATTTATAGAAAATAATGCAAATACTCCCAATTTATAGAAAATAATGCAAATACTCCCAATTTAAAGAAAATAATGCAATTACTCCCAATTTATAGAAAATAATGCAAATACTCCCAATTTATAGAAAATAATGCAAAAACTCCCAATTTATAGAAAATAAACAAAACCATTCAGCATCAAAATAAAAAGTGTGATTCACAGATAAAAGATGATATGTGTACTTGTTTAATTTCTGTAAAATAAAATCTAAACACAATTTAATAAATAATGAGTGATTTACAACATATATGTACAAGTGCCAGGATTCTTGTTTCAGCATATTTTCACTTTTCCTAAAAACACTATATATCAAAAACATCATTTATGAAAATGCTGTCTCATTTATATATATATTTAAAACATACACAGAAAACAAGTATCTTGGCACTACAAAAAAGACAACCATTTATTGGGGAAATTGTGAGTCAACTTGTTATTAAATGTTCAAATATTCATATGACTTTATAACTTATTGAAACGGTATTCATAAAAATTCAACAATTACTGCTCAACATCAAAACTCTCAATTTCCCCAGTTTTCCAACACAGGATCCTATATTTATCCAATCAGTGTGTCTAACACAGGTCTCTGCTACTGTAATCGTTACCTTCACAAGAAGGGCAAAGCAGAGCACTGCAACGACCCCAAAAAATATACCGACAAATATCATGATGAGGCCGACGGCCACATTATCTCCGACGGTCCCCAGTCCACCTATGACACCACTGAAAACATCATTTCAAGTTAGTACAAAATATATATATCAATATATAGCTAAATGTCATGGTTATTCACATCTTTTTAAAATTCAGGTACAGTCTTATCTGAAAATAAGCAAAATCATCTACCAAAAATAACAGAGTTACCAACACTACACGTATATAAATTACATGTATTTTGACATGACAATTATCTTCAAAATAGCAATCATCAATGCAAAAGGTATTAAATGCAATGTGAAGGCATAAAATAATATTCATTTTGTGAAAATGTTTAAACTGGTTTCTCTTGGCAATGTTACTAGTGGAGTACAACATAACATTACTTCAGGTACACACAGGTGTTTTGGTACAACCATCAACCTTCATCAAAATTCCAGGATATCTGATTCTCACACGAATAAGATTTCTATTAAAGTGAATTGGTCTAAAATGGGCATGCTTTCCTTAAGTATTTCAAATATTGATAAAAACTACAGAAATGTATCATTTGGATATGCCTATAAATTACTGCTTGAAAAAAAAAAAATGTTGATAAAAGTTGTAAGTGATCTAGTCTGAAAAATTTTATGATGAATAATAATATTTTGTTCTAAAACAATTTATTATCTGCTACAAATGTATATTGTTTGTTTGTTTGTTTCATTTTAGGCCTTTCCCCAACATTATTTCAGTCATATAGGTGGGTAATTTCCTAACCATCGTTCCTGGAGAGTTACACCAGTACTAGACTACCTTCCTCCGTGCTACACTACTAAAGCATCTCGTTGGGATCGAACCCACGCCAGAGAGGTAACCGGATTAGAAGTCATCGACTCTAACCCCTTGACCTTGCTATATAAATATATGTAATATCGGGGCATGTATGTCACATTTTCCAACAACATCCATGTATACTTCTTTCGTGGTTTGTTATTATTTGTGATATTCAATACTAATCAAAGTTACTATTCATTGTATTACAGACCTTCCATTATAGACCAATTCACTTTAACAAGGCAAACCATTTTATTTCAGTCAAACAGAAAGCATACTTGTTAAATAATGAAAACTAAGATTAATTCATTGCAGTGCGAAGATTTTTAAAAAAATTATGTTCTACTTGCAGATATTTTTCTTTAAAATAAGAGCTTATTTACGTCAAACAAAATACTTCCATATGTAATAAACACTGGTTAATGTAAAAAAGAAGAATTATACTTACACTGAGATATCTGTTATTCCTAGACACATCAGAATACATGTACAAAATTGGAAAAAAAATATGAAGAAAAACACGAAAAAGTTGAATGAGCTGTCACTCCTGGAACGAGAAAGAAAACAAAATTGTGTTATAAACCACACAAGTTTTCAGATAAAAAGTACGGTCATTTTCAATGCATGAATACCTACATGTATATTCAGACTGATAATTTCAGATCTTGTTGGCCGTGTCAGTTTAAACTCAGTCTGGAGTAAGCTGATGTTTCCTTGAGCAAGAAAATATACACTCATTGCTTAGTACTAGCTGGTTCCAAGAAATTAAAGAGTGTCAGCTTCCAACAATACCAAACTAAACCTTAAATCCCTTAAATATATAGAAGTAGCCGACTTAATAAAATTGAGCCGCGTCACGACAAAACCAACATAATGGATTTGCGACCAGCATGGATCCAGACCAGCCTGGGCATCCGCGCAGTCTGATCAGGATCCATGCTGTTCGCTTACAAACCCTATAACAAGTAGAGAAACTGATAGCGAACAGCATGGATCCTGATCACACTGCGCGGATGCGCAGGCTGATCTTGATCCATGCTGGTCACAAACCCATTATGTTGGTTTTGTCGTGACGCGGCTCAAATGAATTTTGAGGCCAGCTTTCATGCTATTTCTCCATATTCCTCCCTCTCGTCCCTTACAACCCGTCTCTTTGCTGGAAGCATGAAAAATAACCCCGAGGCTACAAAAGATACTGTACTGAACAACAATGTAAGGAAGGGGAACAAAGTTTACCTGAAAGCTTTATATAGTGGTCTGTACCAGCAGATAAATGAACACGGTGTGAAAAGGATTAACCAGAGAATGGATAGCCCAAATGTAGCACCACCATCCGAATCTACGATGAAGTAAGCTAAGCTGCCCAAAAAGTTCAGGAACAATGTAAAACCATAAACTGAAATAACAGAGATAATGTGATAAATTAAGGTGTATATCTTACAGTCTATGTACTGTTATAAACAACTAAAGCTGTAACATAAATGTTAAATGTCAAAACATTTAATTATAAAGTAATGGAATTTGGAAATCTGACACTTCAAAGCTGTATGGTATTCTGTAGGGAGTATACATGACTTTATTGCATAAGTTCAGCAGCTCATTCAGATTCTACACAACAAAGTTGATTAAATGACAGCATATGCACACATCTCAAACTATCTTTAGGTAAGTTGTACGAAAATAAAGAATACATTCTATAAATAAACATTCCTTACAAAAATAAATTAGTCTAATTGCTCAATAAAATAAATTTATCTCAAAGGTGACAACAGCATTCAGTTTTACTTACACATCCATATATAGTAAACAAATTTGACGGTTCTTTGGAATTCTAAAGGTATATCAACGGAGAAGTCCTGGTAAAAGCAGGGCCCAACTGGAAACCACTTTGGTAAAGGTGGCCAATTGTTCTGCCGATCTGAAATATTAAAGTTCAAAATAATATTAAATCAATAGTACAATACTAATAATCATTTATTTTACAATTTTTTTATCAAAAACATAGAGGGACAAAAGATAACAGTTAAAATGATACTCAGACATTAATTACAAAACTTCACAAGCAGTAATCTGGATAAAGAATTAAGATTAGATCAAGCTTTCATAATTGAAATATTTTTACAAAACTTTTTGGCATTTCTTCCAATTCACATTAAGTCCCTCAAGTTATGTCTAAGAATATCCTGATTCTGTCCTGAAACATGTTAAAGTTACCTTGGAATTGCATGTTTTTCATCTCTTGTTCTTTTCTGGCTAATTCTTCTGCTTTCTTTTCAAGTTCCTAAGTAAATACAATGAATAGAATTTTTATTACTGAGTGAAAAATCAGAAGTAAATCACATTTATTTTGTTGTAACTTAATAGTTCAGAAAAGTTCAATTATGAATAGTGGCTAATTGTGGTTTACCATGTTTGAAGAAAATGAATGAAAATATTTTCCTAAATGCAAAGATCAAATCAAATATATTATAATGCTTAATTCTCATTTAAATCGACATTGTATTTTATCAATGGAAAGCTGTTAGTTTTAGTAGACTGTGATAAATATTAAACTAGCAGTTTCTAGACATATTCCAGATTATAGGTCAAATCTTTGATTTTGAGTATACAATGTACAGTGTATTGCTGTCAAACTAAAATGACATAGAATTTACAAAATGTATTATGATCTGACATACACTGGTAAAATTTTACATTAATTACTGGCAATATCTTCTTACCATTTTATGTTAAATAATAAGTTATAAAAGAAGGTTACATTGCACACAAAGTTTTTTATACCATGGCTCTATCTTACATGTATATTGTACACATAATTTTGTTCATATGTATTGAGTAAAACCATCAAGATCCTCTTGCCCTCAATTTTACAACTTAAATTCTGTTACCTTCTATTACAATGTATCTATTTTCTATGCCTCTACCCTGTATACCATTGCAGACATTGAATTTACAGAATATATCACCATTACTTGTATGACTATAGTCTAGTTTACTGTATAAAGGATGTCATTTTACCTGTTGCCTTCTCTCTAACTCTGAAGTGTCCACCCTTTGGGCAGAACTTTGAGTGTAAGGTGGTGGGTCGTTGGAGGGTTGCATGATGGCTGGTGCTGCTTGTGGTCCTGGTACAGTAGCCTGCAACACAAGAAAATATACACATGTTCTGATGGCTATAATTATAATAACATTCAAGTTTCAAACATAGAAATGCATATTAACAGTACTCTGTTCTTAGCTTTAGTGCCTAAAAACTGCAAAACAAGCATACAAGTTAAAGCAATCTAAATTTATTTTACTATTCCAATGTTAAAATTAAAAGAAAGGTCATAAATAACATGAGTACATTGTATGAGGAAGGAGGGGAGAACATGTATTAACCCAATGAAAATTGGGATAACAAGAAAAATATTACATACATTCGTATGTATTATAGGTACAATTGCATACTACTTTTTGTGAAGACTTTATGTTTGCTGCATTAAATATCTTTAAACATTTTCATGGAATGTAATTAATGTATCAACATATTAAACTTGCATGCCTTCAGATGAAAAAAATGATTTCAAGGAAATAAAAATATGAAAAGAAAATTCACGGTCAATTGACTGCTTTGAAGCATAATCACAAAATAAAATTACAGGAAATTAAAAACCTTTTTAATACACTAAAAGTAGAATTTCATTATTAATCATAGTTGCAGATTTGAGATATGATTATTTATTCATATTAACATCATTATTGGTTATATATTGATAAAACAAAAACCCCGAAAGACAGAGTTTGTAAATATTTATTACAATAAAATATGAAAAAGGTATTTTCCATCCTATGCGACGTGCCGAGATTAGCTATATTTATAATTCCCGCACTAAGTCGCGGTGGTGCTTGGGATAATCACTTGATACTGTAAATGGCAGCAATTTTACGATACGAAAATGCCTGGCCCTCCTCAGACATTTTATCTTGTCGTAAAGATATGAAAAAATACTTGCAATTGTTATTCAAAGTTTGTTTGCTACATAAAGATTATCGATTTACTCTTTCTCTGCCTGATTGTGATAATATTGATGTGTTTTCATTGGCTTATACCATCACGTTATCAATACACATGTAGGTGTGAACTAATTTCGTGTTCATTAAAATAATTCCGTTAATAGACATATAACAATCTTATTTACAAATGAATTGATAAAACAACAATCCCAGAACCTTTTAAGATAATAACAATCATTTGAAAAAAATAAATGCATATAAATTGTAAATTTGTGTATGACAATTCACCCCCTAAACAAAACATAATAGACTCAACCAAAACAAGCGTCTGCTTCTTTATCTAATTATGTAGTTGCATGACCATGATTAGCAATAGCAAACCAAATATAAGAGCTAAAGCTATTGTAAAAATAATACTATGACCACAGCAGATTTTGTACAGAAAAGATCTTTTCTAGATACATGTACTATGAATAAGAGGGAGACACAGGTCAACAGTCATAAACATTTTCAGCATTTATACTCAAGACTTATGTAACAATAGCCCTGTTTGAACCGGGTGATGCTCCACTAATAGGTTTTTGACACTGGAAAGTACACATCTTGTAGTTTGCATTAAAAGATATGCTCTGGACAAAATATTAATATTTAATCATCTTGGGTGACCTTGACCTTGCATAAACATGTACTGACCTGAAATATGCTGGCAATACATAATATCAAGATTGTGAACATTTCTGATATAATCCCTCAGTTCAAGAATACCAAATTGTTCACACACTTCATAATTTAATCTGACCTTTTGAACTTTATGTGTGACCTTGACCTTTCAGCAGGAACCTGATGCTACATACATCACCACACAATAGAACTGTTCAACATTTGTGCCAAGGAAAAACGCAAATCCCTCCATGCATGCAGAAGATAAAACACAGAATCCTGCCTGGATACAATTTGTCCATCAGCCGGGGGGCGATCCCATTAATATTATACATTCTGTTTTATTTCAAAACGGAGGTAAAAGAAAGTAAAATTTTATAGGGGTAAAAACTAACGCTAAACAGTGGCAAAAGACAAGTTTTGTGTATGATATATTGTGTTTAGGTGCAGTCTCTTGTATAAGTTAATAATATCATACCTCAGTAAGCAATCCCTTATGCTCTTCCTGGTAGTAAACATACATTATAATTTACTAGTATTGACATAATGAATATCAAATAACTTGCTAAAATATTTCACTTTTACATTGTTACCTGTATATATCATTTCAGACCTACAATACTGGTACTTAGGATGAAACTATTTTGCAACATGAATCGTGAATAAAATAAATAGATGAAGATATACGAGGTCTAAAAACAGTGGAAACTTCTTCCTAAAGGCTTAATAAAAGGAATTAATTTGTTTAATTAAATTGAACAAGTGTTTTCAATTTCACGAATATTTTGAAAGATTGGAAGTTGGTCAACAAACAATATAGAACCTGCACAGATGTGCATACTGGCATGGTGGTTCTATTCTGGTTGCAAAGATGGTTTTAGTTTGTGCATTAAAAGACCTGATTTTGACCATTTTGAAAGTGACATTAAGACTTATTTAAAAGACTTATTGTACCATTATTACCTAGTCCTTTTAAAGATAGGCACTACCAATATAATATTCAGGAAAAAAAATCAATCAATTTTGTGTTTAATAATATATAGATGAAAAACATGCATTTTTTTAAATATAATAATGTACTCAAATAAGTTACCCCAGCAGCTGGTTTTGTTTGATTATCTTTTTCAAATGGATTATAGTCGTCTAGTCCTGCCTGTCTACCTCCACCTCTAGCAGCTTGCTGTACTGATTGATCCTGCAATTACAAACGGGAGTTTATCATACAGTCCAACCCAAGTTATTCGACAACCCTTTATTTGAATACCCGGCATTACCATAAGTATATCGCCTTCCCAGTTTTATCTCAATATAAACATATTATTTAAACTGCTTTATCCAAATACCTTATATTTTTCAAACTAAAAGTTTAGTCCAGTGTCCTGATTACACAATTATGAAAGTATTTCACTCCAATCTATCATATTAATGGCACTGATCAACTCCCTCATCGACCCAACCTGTGAAAATTTTCTAACAGCCATAAGTGTATTTAGACTATCATGATAATTACAATTTGCATGTTCTTTAATTACATGTTGTGTAACTTTAATTACCGGAAATTACTGATTTCTGTTTTAATAATTGGACCGTTTAAAAGTTCTCAATTTAATAATTTTAATTAAAGAATGAAAGTAAACAATCTAAATATATAAAAAAAACACGTAATCAATAACATGTATTTGTATATAAAGAATCAGTGCATTAATTAATTGTTAACGCCACTCAAGATATCCTAATATTCAACGCTTGTATAAATGTGAATATATATTTATATGATTAAAATTTTGCATGAGCCTGGTGTTGTTACCCTTAATGCTTGTAAATGACAGCAATAATTTTCTATATGCGAAATAAACATCAAAACTTTTGTTGTTTTACTCCATTTAAATAATCATTATTTTCTAAAACGAAGCAGACTAATCTGTATATCATGCAAGAGATGTCAATGTCTATAAGTGTTTTATAAATAACCAATTGAATCCAGTTCTATTCATGACGCTTTTTACCGAGTACACATTTGACACATTTGTTTACATCTGTCAACGCTCCACCATCTTGTCCGAATATATTACATCAATAGAACATATCTTTACAACATATTTGTGCTGGGATTGACAAATATGCATTTTATTGGATTAAAGGCATTTGGAGCTCCACATCCTAGTGTCTGTGGTAAAAGTAACTTAGATATCATTTGTGATGGATACTGCCTCTTGTACATAAGTGGGAGGGGTCAAATCAAAATGAAAAAATCAGGTAAACATAAGGCAGCAGCAGTACTTTGTTTACGTTATGACCCATGTCAGTCATCACAAAATCATTTATTTCATCTGTAAAAATAAAAAGATCATACAGAATTAAGTACTTAACACATAATCGGCGAAAATAGAAATTGTATCAGATTATTGACAAAAATTATGAAAATGTCACAATAGAAAACATTTCTGTCCTCACCGCGAACGGGTTCACAGCTTCAGGGTCTGCAAATGGGTTGCTATCGTAATCCGACATCTTCACTTAATGATTTCTTAAATAATTTTCTTCAGAGAATAATATTTGCGGCCTAAATTGGTTTAACAAATGTTTTGGTATGTGAGGTGTCCAAATAATATGGCTGATTCAACTTCCTTAAAAAGGCGCATGCGCAGTGAGCAAATGTCACATGGGTTAACGTCATTTTGCAAGCGGTCGATGCTACAGTAGGGTGTAGCAAAATGAATTAAGAAATGAATCAGTGAGACGCGCTCTATGAGCTAATTTTTAAACTACTGTTTAGGCAGAATTTCAATAATAATTTTATTCCTCATAATCTGTCAATTGAATTGAATAGAATAGAATAGAATAGAATAACTTGTGGTCATGTTAAATGATTCATGTAAATCAGAATAATAATAATGAGATCAAATAAAGACGTTAAAGAAACTAAAACTTGGTTTGTATTATAGTAACAACAATGAACTTAAATAAAAAAACAAAACAAACAAACAAAATAAATGACCGAGTTTCGTTAGTTAACATCAAATATTGATAAATTTAGAGTTTAAAATATTAACCATAATTTTTTTTAAAGGCATACTTTGTAAGTTGTGATCAATAATTATTTTATCCATATGTGCTTATCTATCTTGTAAATTATTTGACAGCTTTTATCAAAGATGAATAATTGATTCCTTTAATCTATTTTTATATGTAGTTTATTTATTTGTTTGCATGTTAAAGGATAGTTTGTGATGTCGGAACTATCTTAGCTAGTGTTATTATGTGTCACTGTAATCTACAATAAATAAAGATTATCTTATCTAATCTTATCTTTAACTGTTTGTTTACTTTTATCAATCATCAGTAAGAATAATGTATACTGTATTTTTGATACTACTCACGCCCAGGTTGTACCCATATATGTATGTATGTATGTATTTGTATGTATGTATTTGCCTATACCAGGGGCGTAGCCAGCTTTTCTCTACTTGTAGGTACATAAAAGGGGGTCTGGAGGCGTAGCCCCCGGAAGCAAAAAAAAAAAAAAAAAACAAGTTCAGATTAAAAAGAGCAAAATGCACGTTCCAAAGTATGTTCAAGGAAAATTATCAAAACAATAATTTTAAACTATGAATTTGATAAAATGCATACTTTATTGAGGATGGTAAATCATGCGCACACACTTGATTCGACTCTATGGCTTGAACTCACTACTAACTCCACTCTCGCCTGTTTTATTGTATTTTTGGGACTTTTGAAAATGTTAATTATTTGACCAACTTGTAGGCCCGTGCCTACATGGCCTAATAGTAGCTACGCCGCTGTATAATACCATGGACTCCACTGCGCTACCCCAACCGGCCTAAGTTCCTGCTATAACCCCCAAAAATGGCAAATAAGAGTTGTGCTTGGGGGAAATGACAAAGACTCTGGATGGGGAAGTTTCAGATCACACTTCTTACAATCTGATTAAAATCAGCTCTAAATAACGCTACGCATTTACATGTAAGCAATAATATAAATATTTCTGAACTTTGGTCAGGCTGCACTTAAAGCTGAATTTAATTAATTTGTTACATTATCAATGTGTACCAATGTACTCAATCATGGGACACATCATAGCCGCATATTTTTTATTTAAAAACAACAACAACAAACAAACAAACAAACCTAAAAATAAACGTGAGCATGGTTCAAACTAATTATTACCCTGGTGAGTTTAATATATTTTAAAATTAATATTTAGATAATATTATTAATTTAACTTCAATCAACAAACTAAATTACACAAGATTTACAGATTTTTCCCGCGCATCAGGGTCAATGTGCTGGGTTTGTACTGGCCACAAGTAGCCGGGATAATATCACCAATTAGTACTTTGTGAAGGGGCATTTATTTTAAGGAGATATTTGCATTCTGACCGTCCCCGCAGGACGAAGCTTTTGACAGGAGTAAAACTCCCTCTTACCCCCCCCCCCCCCCCCAGATTTTGGGGCCAGAATTATAACTGACCTTTGTATAATATTAATCTGATATGATCGACCGAACGTAAGTAAAACGATGTCAACTTTTTCTAAATCTGTTTGATATCATATGTACATGTTGTTTCGTTGTTGCCTCTGTAAATTACATATAAATTGATTAAAAAACTTTGGGGATCGACCTACCATTAAGTAGCTTACTGAGTATACCGGCAGGTTAAGAAAACATATAATTCTCACAACCGACCCCCCCCCCCCCCCCCTTAAAACGCATGCGGAAGGCATAGCTCCCAGGCCTCGACATAAGCGGTGGTCCGGGAGACCACTTGAATTTTCTGGATGGTGCAAGGCTTATCTGGGAGAATGGGGCAAATTTGTCAATAACATGTGATATTCTTAGTGTTTAAAATTATTTTCCGAATTGTACTGTACATGGATATCTTCATTAACATCATAAGTTAAAGAACTTCTTAAGCATCAATTACTTTTGTTTTAACTCGCCAAAATTTTGCTAATGCAAATTAAAAGAGTAAATAATATGTTATATCAATTAAGGTTCATTCATGTTCAAATGACGCTAGTACTGCATTTTAATTAATAATGATATTGTATGTGATATAGGATAAGACTTAAATTTTAGAAACTTTAATAATGGCAGCAAACAAAAGAAGAGGGAACAATATATATATATATATTATATATATATATATATATATATATATATATATATATATATATATATATATATATATATATATATATATATATATAGTATCTCTATGCCTACTTTTCTTTATTTCAACAATAAGCTATCCATTTCTTCCAGAGTTAAAATTACTTTAAAAGGTTAGAAATACTTCATGTAATAAATAGATATGAACAAACGAACAAAAAGGTTGCTAAAAAAATTCTGTATTATAAATCTTTGAAGATAATAAGCTCAACTACATGTATCACTGCGGTATACCGTACCCCGGATATTGCTCGATATTATGAGGACTTTCATCCCATTTCGCTACTTTGAACGGGGAACGAAGGTAAGTTCAGCGACAATTTTTTCCAAACTAATGGCTATTTTATTTATCTAAACGGGTTTTATATATCTAGAGGTATTTTGTAGCTCTAAAAGACATAAAAGTATTACAGGTATTTGTAAAATTGATTAAAATACCCCTAAACGATCCGCTGCTCACTAGAAAATACTGACCGCGATACTTTAGAATCGTTCGAAGTTATAATATTACCAATATAAAAAAAAATTGAATCGAGCAATTTTTTTATTCACTATTCAAGTATGCTTTGGCCAAATTTCAGGCAAAAAGTGTGAAAGTACAAAAAGATACAGGCCAAAAAAGATACAAGAAAGTGTACCGAGTATTGATTTTAAGTGTACAGAGTATTGCAAAATAGCCCAACTTAAGTGTACAGTGTATTGCAAAACAGAATGAGCACATTAGTATGGAAAATCGATATCTTTGTCTACTTTTTACGTCTGTTTATCGAATCCATTCTATTTTGCCGATAATGTACTGTTTTATATGATATTTATTCAAATATTTCAGATTCAAAATGCATTTTCAGTGTTATTAATTACTGTTCTTTTCTATAGGCAAATATACAGAGATTTAATTTCCCATTTGATTGAAAATCACACTATGGATGAAATAAAGTGTGTGCAGGGTCGGAAGCAGGATTGGGAGCAGGGTAGAGCAAGGAGACCCATCTCTGAAAATAAGAAGAAATAAAAACACATTTTTTGATGACATTAATAATAACTTAAGTTTTTTACAGGGCAAGTTTGCCTTAAAGAAAACATATCGACACACTTACTAAAATATTGGCCCGCGGTCTTATGCCGTCCAAGCATGCCGGTATCGTCTTAACCCTTTACCGCATGAGCATATCGTGAAAATGGCTGTTTTCATTGAATTAAGCCTCCTGATACAAGTTCAAACTGCTATGAAACTATAAAAAATGCTGAAATACTGATCAAACTGGGCACAAATGTTGGCTGGACCATAGCCTGTGGAATAGCATGCTCAATTTTATATTTTTCATTTACCATGGCAACGGGGGACGTCTCAAAATTGCCAAAAATTCTCTATTTTGCGTTGTTTTTTTTTTCTATAAAACTGAGTTCAAGGTGCAGCAACTTTTCAATTGATTGAGATAAAGTTTAAGGCTTTTCGGCGTTGATTACATGGTACCTTACTACCTTTCATTCAACTTCAGGCCATTTTAGCCCCCAGCCCCCACAAAAGTCCCAAATCTTGTCGGCGATTCAAACCCCCAAACAGAAGGGGGCACATTCCCCCTGTGGCACCCCCTTGATGTACCTTTTTAATGGGGGTGGAGCCGAAAAGTGATCACTCTTTTACACAAAATTTCTCAAACGAAAAAAAAAACAGTGTTCGGGCCTAAATAGCGCATGTTTTACACTATTTGAAGCCTCAAAAGGGTGGGGTTTAAATCCTTCAAAACACGCCTTTATGAGGTGAAAGATTATAAGGAACAAACCCTTTTTATTGTATTTGCTGCCTTTATCATAAACTTATTAAAATCCATTATTCGGTTTTTTGAGCTATACCCGCTCGGCAGTCATACGGTACCTAATTGCTAATGACGTAACAAATTTCACGTGCAGACGGTCTTCCGTTGCTAGAGTTCAGGTGCAAAATGACCGAAAGTTATCTTTATATGGACTTTTGGCATAGTAGGAAGTCGGTTGATATTAGATAATGTCACGGTTCAGAACTGTTCACTATTCGGTGTGATGATGTGAAAGCGGCCGGATAGCTCATTCGGTAGAGCCGCGGTACGGTATTCCGAGGGTCCCGGGAATTAGTGAACAGTTCTGAACCGTGGCACACACTTGCTCAAAATCGTCTACTATTGACACTCTTGAGGCAGCATTAATGCACTTTGGATGCATTTTTTACTATTTAAAGTAAGATATGCAATAATTATTAACAAATTCTGGAAAGGTTGATCCTGCGATAGCAACGAGAACTTTGTAACACAAAAAATTGCTGAGTTCGTTCGACTGAGATTTTTCATGAGCAGGAATGAAAATCTGGATTATTCGCAGATGTATCCAGTAAAGTACCCCCGAACTCTGCCTATTTTGCACATATATCGTAAATAAGTTAACACAATAAGAAATATTTAAGATTAAATGTGGCAAATACTCTGTGTTTACTACTTGCATTTACTCTATATTGATAACCAATACTCGTTACACTAAAAAGCAATACTCGTGACACCGGCAGGCAACTCTAACGCAATACTCGTTACACTGACATGTGTATTTATTCTCAAAATGCACTGTCATCTGATGTTCTATTGTTGATTGAATATATACAACATTAACATTACCATCATTATCACATTTCACTCGATTCAAGTTTTTCTTTTAAGCAAGTAAATGCACAAAAACATCAAATTTGACTGATCCGAGCTCATTTATCACGCGAGCAAAGAGACGACTTTTACCTCTTTATTACATTTCAAAGCTATTTCTCAACATTTTTGGGTTTTTAGTAACTAGAGAAATTATCGAAGTATTTCTTTTTCTATAAAATTTATATCAAACCAATTCAAAATGACTAAATATCGTCACTGAACTTAATTACCTTTTGCCCTCGTTCAAAGTCGCGAAATGGGATGAAAGTCCTCATTATATCGAGCAATATCCGGGGTACGGTATACCGCAGTGTGTATAATGAAGGTATTATTTTGTTTCTCATTATTTTCAAGGTAAAGAATTAGATAATTGAATAGGTTTTTTTTAAAATGTTTATCTATAAAAGAAAAAATATATAATAATAAGACGTACCACATCCCAGCAATGAATATTTGAATAACAGTAAGAAAATTTCTTACTGTTATTCAAATATTCATTGCTGTGATGTGGTACGTCTTATAATTATATATTTTTTCTTTTATAGATTAACATTTTAAATCTTATTCTTAAATTTCAAATCCAGTGGTCCGGCTTACCACCTGCTAAAAAGTTAGTATCGAGGCCTGGCTCCAAAATGTCCCTTGGTGGCTTTCTATATCTGATCATCTTGTAACTCGTGCAGTATGAGATCTCGTGCAATCACACAGAACATTACGGATAGACTTGCGCAAGTCAAAAATGCCGTTTATCAGGAAGCTGAGTACAATAGAAAAGCGGGAAGGTAGTTGAAGACGTAAGACGTACAGATCGTTTCGTATCGCCTGCTATGGTCATACTTTATATAGAATTTATTTTAGTTCGTTTGTGTAGGAAGATATAGCTTAAAGACACACTTTCGAACCAACTATCGCTATCGACAACGCAACGCGCAAAGTGTACCAAATCAGCCACCATATCTGTCATTGATATAAGAAAATGAAGAAAGCTACAGTAATAATACTGCTACATTTGCTGGTAGTGACATATCACTATATGTTCTCTTGTACTGCAGTCACATGCACTTTATTTGTATATATAGGGGAACAATATCAAGGAAGACAAGTACGTGTGGTATAATTTTTATGGTTTTTTAGGGGGTAGACAAATGATTTATTTATTATAAATGCTTCCTTGACATCTTTCCCTCTGAAGAAACATTACGACTGTTTGTGTAACATAAATGACCGGAATTAGAAAGAAATGAATATATCGCGTTTTCAGTGATGATAAGGGGAGTGGTGGTCTAATGGTTAAGGTGTCTGCCTCTCAACCCAGGGATCATGGGTTCGGGCCCTACTCGGATCACGACCATGTTTCTTCATAGGACAACAGTACTGGTTGGTTCCAGGAAGCGGACTCGAAATGATTAATATAATTTGCAAGAACTCGTTTCGCAATCGAGCTTAAATAAATATGTTTAAACCAAACAAGCGATGATAAAATAAATATTGCATTGTAAAAATCCAACTACCATTATATAGTTCATCAACCAATATTCTTAGGAATTTCCGATGCATTTAATGACTATGATGATAATTTACAAACAGTAACAGCAAGCATTTGTAATGTTCATCAAACCTCGGGACACAGCTTCTATATTTCTCTGCACGTCTATATTTCTACAGTGTAAATCTAAACATTACACTACTAAACAACATGCATGCGTAATTGTCTGCTGCAAGGGTCAATACAGGCCTAACATGGTGACGTATGTGAAATATGCTTTAACACTACAGTGATAATTATAATTATATCAATTATAATTTTTTTTAAGTTCCGTATTTTACTATATATATTTTGGGAGCACATGGTCTTGGATTACCAATTAAATGACGGCTGCAGCAACATAAAGACGTGATTTTGATGATATTGTAATTTCTGCAACAACATAATAATGTGACACGAGCTACAGCACTGATTCATGCTATTCAATGTCACACATGTTGATCAATAAAATTAAATGATTATCAAATCTACATTTTGAAAAAGAAACAACAGCAAGCTATGATCATAATTTACTTACTATTCCAGCGTAGTCACTTTTTTAATCTAAATAAAAAGCCTTATTCCAACTTGATATTCCATGCGCAGCTGTTACTTTGAGAAAAATCTTTCCGAGTATTGATTGACCAAGCGACTGCTGGGATACGATAGTGTTCCTTATAATCGATCTCTTTACAATATACAGACATTCTTACATACAGAAAATTTGAAAGATTTTTAGCTAACAGATTTATCAATATTAAATGTCCCCCTTTTAGCGCGGATAAATATCAATGATTGTGAGTTTATTAAATGGTGTATTATCGCAATCATGTTATTTATAGATCAGATTATTATTAATACAAGGAATTGCTACATTAACCAGCAGATTAGCCAGAAATATGCATTGAACGTATTGTTAAAGTTATCTTGGAGCGTTCACATAAAGGCAACGTATTACACCCCACCACCACAGAAAAGAAAATAAAAGAAAAAGAAAAAAAGGAAAAAAAAACACAACAGGAAATGCACGTCCTAACCGGAGCCAACGGACACATTATTCCAGTGTCTAACAGATTTGTGAGATATGTGGGGACAGGGGTATACCGGTCGGAAATAAAGCACATGTTTAAGTAAGAAACTGTGCTGATTTGGTTTATAAGAACTTTGTCGTAATATACTAAATTTCTTTAATCTCCAATTTAAGGCACCTATTTCAACTTACATGCATATCAATTACGTTGGAGTCCACCAGTATACTTGCCATGGTCATGACGCCATAAAGGTTTAAACCGATGATTCCTGAGTTGAGAGGTAGATATGTCACCGCTTCGCAGTCGCAATTGAGTTGTTTAATTAAAAATATTGTGCTATATAAACATAATAATAGTTTACAACTTTACATTTCTACTTGTTTTGAAACAACAACATAAATTAAAAAAAGTCGGCACACTGAGGTCTAAAAATGACGTAATTGTTCAATCGAACTTAATTCAACCATTTCATTGTTATCGAGACTTTTTGTTTTTAGCAAGGTTCATTAATTTCTTTATATATCATTCTTGGGTGATCAATGACAAAAAGTTTCTTAAACAATACTAAGCACCGAAATCTTAATACATTATCGTATTTCAGTCTTCGTTTTTATTTTGGACACATTTCAATAATAATCGTGTCACCAATTTTTCTTCTTCATACTTTTGATATTGGAAATATTATTTTCGTAAAGTTAAATAGAAAATTAGAAAAAAAGAAATGGCTTTTTGTGGGGAGGCCTCGACATGGGCCAAACTATCGTTATTGTTGCTGGTTTTAGCCTTTAGTTTACACTGTACAGGTTATGGTACCAATTACTGGATGGCAAGGTTTGTAAAGATATTTATATTAACATTCATTTTATTTATTTGATGTCTTGTTTATATCGGAACCAATATTGTATTAACAGTTTTATACCTATTAATACAAATGTACTTTATTCTATTTTGTTATTTCTGTGACCCTTTTCCCTAAGTTTAAGATTCACTTACTGTTGTAGTACATAGTAATATTGTCCACCATTGCCAGGATAAAATCACCTACCGTATATAACATAATGTACTGGATTCTGAATAACGATACATGAAATGAGTGTGCATTGTTTTGTTATGTAGCATAATCAAAAATGATAAAAGGAATGGTAGGAATTATGATAATTTTCAACATTTCTTATACAAGAATCGTACCCCCCCCCCCCCCCCCAAATGGTTAACTTAAATTTACATTTTGTTGTCATGACTTCAAATTTTCACTTTGTATCACAACAAACCTACTATATATATTCACTTTACACGTTTCAGGGGGAAATGTCCATGCCAGATCTTAAAAAAGACCCCTCACAATGGGTAAAATTTCAATGCTACATTTTTTCTGTGTTTGTATGTTCTTTTAAAACATTTCATATGACAAGCGTGTATGTTTTATCTATGTCAGGAATACAGCACGAGATAAGAGTAATTTTGGTATAGGTTTATGGAAGATGACAGATTGTTCAGGCTCGTACAAAGCCCCGTGTACCGACGGTGACATTCCCGACAGCTACATGAAAAGTATGCACAATATACAATTGCATTGATATTTTCAATTAACATTTGATTAACAATATTAATCTGAATTAACTTTCAAAACATCAACCAATATAGCAATATTAATCTAACGTATCTTTCAAAACATCAACCGATGTGAAACATTTATAGAATTATACATAATTTTTGTTAACTAGATTGATTTAGACTTCACAGATTAAAACACAACGCACAATTATAGTAATAACCTTTAATATTGAATGTTTACTTTATCTCGATGTTTAGTTCTTAAGTTAATATTGTTTTACAATAAATAAATATCACAATGGCCGAAGGTAATAATGTTGTTTTTTTTCGCGTGTCCTTTTTTTTTAATACGTTGCTTTAGTATAATAAATTAATGTGTCTAAATTTTCAGAGTATGTAAAGGCGGTGAGAGGAATGGAATCAATTGCTCTGATACTAATCTTCGTCCCCACAATTTGCCTTGCATTCTACGTTGGTTCTCAAAGGTCAAGGACACGTGGCATGGCCATTGCTATAATATCTCTGGTGCTTGGTGCAGGTATCTTCTCAACTTCTCAACTTTTCTAATGTTAATATCTAATATCTTACACCGTCATAATTATTGCTGTTAAGAAGTCTGTATTGAATTGTAATTTTGATTCTGTTAATGTAGGGTACGCTGTTAGAAAAAATGCTTTGTTTTTGTTCTGTTTTATCACACCTTAATAACACTATTACAACATTAGAAACTATCAGGCATTTACACCATAAAATATTTCCATATATAGTTTCTACAATTTTATAGTCTTTATATACTTACGTGAACTACCGTGGTATTTTGTTCAAATAACAAATTACATGTACATCTTTTATCAAGTGACAAAATTGAGCTTTTCTTGCACATTTTAAATGATCGAAATCGAAACATATATACAATACAAAGTAACGTTTTTACAGTCCATATGGTACTCAAACGGTCCTCAAATCTATACTGTGGTTACAAATTATATTTGATAATTACAATATTTCTGTATTTTAAGTTGTATTCAGCATCATCGGTATGATAGTGTGGTTAGCTTATATGCCGGAGTTCCATTACGCCGGCTGGTCGATGGGACTCACTGTCTTCGCCATTACACTGTGTATAACGGCCGCTATAATTCTCATCCCAGATATTAGAGAGTATGATTATAAGGACATGCTGAAGGTAACCTTTGTTCTGTCTAATTTTAGTGTATCTGTTAAACATATTCTTTTGTGAAACTGTTGAAATTGTAAAAGTATAGTTTAACCCATTCAGCCTTAAATGCATGTCAGTCTTGATGCTTTTTCTTATAGAAGAACAATATTTTATACGAAATGACAAATACCTTCTATATTCATTGTATTTACATCAAGTTCATCGTTGTCAGTAACTATATCTGCGTTACAAATTCTGAAGAAAGAACCCCTCATAATTTGACGTTTTGACTGGTAAAAATACTATACCATTATATGTTACATTTTGTATATCAGGTGGGTGGAGAGTTCCAGAACCTGCCTGTGACAAAAGAGGACTACCCCCCTCCATCTAATGATGACATGTACCGGGCCGATATGAAGCCTGTTGTAGAGGCACATGGTAGAATGGCCGCACCAGTATATCAGTTCCTCAACTATGACAAAAAACGAAAAATGGATGGTTTTTAAATTGTTGACTATATGTTTCACTCCAATATATTGCATGTTGGCTGTATATATTGATTGTTTCGCTTTTTTTTATATTATTTATACATTTTTATGAACATTCTGTTAATTAATACTATATTTCTTATGTATACCAATAGTAAACTGTTGTTTAAAAAAATATTTTCTTTCTTTTTTTGTAATAACGTTAAACGAATGTGTACGCCCATTGTATTTCATTTGTTAAAAAAAGATATGAGGACAGAAGCTGAATAGCACTTGTTGTATCTGCTATAAATTTTACTTATTGCATTTACAAAACAAGGATTACAGTTGTTTTTGGGGAAAAAAAGATGAAATGCGTGCTAAAAACTACTTATGAAGCCTTCGAGTTGAAATATTGAATAGAAATCCAAGGTGCCATTTCATTTAGTTGTCATTTTACTAAAGTAATTTTCCTTTTAGAATTTCATTCATGTACAAAATTTATGTTAACATTAACCTACGGCCATCATAAATAATAAAACTTTATTGCATTTATACACTTTATTGGTCTTAATAACATTGTTTATGCTTTTCTAAATGAATATCATTGCCAAAGAGCTCATTTTGTTAGAATTTCACATGCTTTCCTGGTCTGAGAATAACACAACAGCTTTCATTCTTTTTTTCTTTTATTACAGTCTAATATATTCATGACTTACAAATATTAAACATAAAAACGCATACAGAAAACAGACATAAAACAGAACAGACTTAGTTTACAAGAAGGACAACTCTACAACATATATAGGCCTACTCTTTATATGCATTGTAGACTTATCACCCTTATTTACACGCATTTAACGCATACATTTACAAAATAAAAATAACACTTTAAATATACGAAATTCATGAGCTTTTAAAATACATTCTCCTGAATTATTTTTAATAATGCATTTTTTCTTGAAATTATTCTATCATCTCCGGCCGATGGAATTGAGAGAGGAGGGGGTTGTTTTTGCGTTGTCCGTCCGTCCATCTGTGCGAGATGTAAACATGTGTCATTCCAAAAGAACATTACGAAGAGATCGATGTATAAAGTATCAAGCGTTGTAATTGAAACGTTCTGTTTCTTAGTCTCACTCTGCTCTTTCCCCTAATGGCCGTTCTGTCGTGATTTTATATATTACCTTAAATGTTAACTAATGAATCAAGGTTATGTATTCTATTTGTATTTTACGTCAGGTATGACACTAAATCGAGGGTTAACTGTAATAACTGATATGAAATAAAGAAGAATTTACAACAGTTTTGCAGTCAACCCACGACAAATATAGTTATTAATTTACAATTATTAATTACTTGTCTGTATATGATCATACTGAAACGACATAATTACTCTATTATTTCAAATCTTAAATATTGTATAAAATATAATCTCGGTTAATTGATTTATAAAACTTAAATCAATCATCAATCAAGTACTATGCTTATATAAACAATTAAATTGTCAATATCTACTTGATTTATTTCCAACATAAATATGCTTTATTTCCAATATAAATAGTACGAGCGCATAAACAATGCATTTTAAAATAAATCATTTGAGCCGCGTCACGACAAAACCAACGTAATGCGTTTGCGACCAGCATGGATCCAGACCAGCCTGCGCTTCCGCGCAGTCTGATCAGGATCCATGCTGTTCGCTATCAGTTTCTTAACTTGTTATAGGGTCTGTCATGACGCGGCTCATTTTATACTTAACCTGTATGCAGATACAAACGTTTTCACAGTAAATTTGTTTTTATGATTTAAAGTATCAAATAACATAAAAGATAAATAACAACTTTAATAATATTTACCTTTTATCAAATTACTTAAACGCACCCTTTCTTTCTTTCTTATAACCTTATAGCTATGTTAGATATGTTTAACAACGTCGAATGTGTAACATTAAATTTTGACCCCGTTAATAATTGACAAAGAGATCTTACTACTGAAAGCATTGTTAGGCCACATGTGTCACAAATCACATTCGTCACAAGTTTTTATGAATTTGTGACGAATGTGATCACATTCGTCACAAATGACTTTTGTGACGAATGTGATTGACCAAAATCGGGTAAAAATGCCAATCACAAACGTCACAAGCAAAATTGAGAATTTTTAAACAGGCGAATCACAAATGTCACAAGTTTATTTTTCAATATGTGATACACGGAATATCATAAGGACAATCGTGGTTATATCAGTGCGATAGTACAAGGGCGACAATGCAATAAATCGATATTGTGATGTCGACATCACGATACCAATATCTTTTCACCACCATTGCATTATCGCCATCGTACTAACTTGTTGCAATATCGTATCGTCGGCATTGTATTGTCTTCATAGAACTGTCGCATTGTCGTAATGGTATTGCTACATTTCTTGTAGAATATGATTGGTCTTGCGAAGCTATAATTACACGAGGTCATTCAAATATCTTGCAAGCAAATTCGCTGAATTAATGTTTACCGCCGACAGCATCATATACTGATTGAAAATTAAACAATTGCAGGATACATTTCGAATAAAGACTCCGGGGAAATAGTCGGTTAAAGCATAAATTATCAGGGCCCATATCACTCAAGGTCACGGCGATAATGCACATGCCCTTTTTGTATTGAAGGTTCCCACACAATTAAAATTAGATATATTTAACATTTGAAGACATGAAATACTTAAGTTATCTGACTGAATATTAAGCAACCAGGGGTCTTAACTTCGGGTAAGTGCCGTCAATATACACATCTCCGCTTGGTATTAGATGTACCCACATAGTTTTGTTTAAATTATTCAGCAGATTTGTTGAAGAATAGGGTTGAATTAATGCTTTTCTATGAACAATAAATGATAATAAATTATGGATCATAACTCTGTATTAAACGGCCAAACGGGAAATACTGATGATGATGATGATGATGATGATGATGATATGCACATCTTGTTTGTTTGTTTATGTGTTTATCTAAAGTCGCCGCCGGAAAGCCCATATAAGCGACCGTACCCTCAAGTCGGACCAAATCCTTTTAGTGTCCCGTCGAGATTTTTCGAGATGCGCAATCTCCTCTTTATATTAAACTAAATTTCGTTGAAATTCCTAGAGCGCAGAAAAGCAATAGTTCTATATACAGTGTTTTATAAATAACAACAACAACAAGGGGCAATAAGTCTGTTTTTAAAAAGAAATGGAGATATGCTGGTTATATGTGCAACTGGTTTGTGAATGAAGGTTCCTACAAAGTTGCAGCATCGATATCCATCCAGAAGTTGCTGAAAAATAGCGTGGAAACGAAATGATTCCATATACAGTGTATAATAACTAATCAATGGCCGGATAGTGCGGAAACTAAATCTGGACTGACAGGCGGACGAACACGCTAAAACAGTCCCATCACTCCCGATTTCATCAGCGGGGAGGGGATAAAAATGTCTGTAGTTTTAGTTCCAATAATTGATTTAAGTCCTAAAAATTTGTGACGTTTGTGACTCAGTGAAAAGCATTGAAGAAAACAATATTTATCTCAAATTTGTGACATTTGTGATTTTAAACTCGTGACGAATGTGATTGTCTAAAACATTGGATCACATGCATCACAAAATTTGTGACGAATGTGATCTCATTCTTCACAATTGTGACGAATGTGATTTGTGACACATGTGGCCTTACAAAGCATTGTTGTATACAATCATGTAAACATCATTTTTTGGCCAAAGTAAGTTTCTGTCAATTGAATAAAACCCTAAAAACCTAGAGAAAGACGGGATCTTTAATAAACGTTCAAAACGGCAAATACGCTGGATTTGTGCAAAATTCAACATTTAACATGAAATGGTTAAATTTTGAATTTGGAAATAGCCGCAGATGTGATCAGAACAGAACGGAACAGAACAAACATTTTATTTGGCACAAACATATATACATATTCATCGCCAATACGTTGTAACAATGTATGGCGGTAAAGAGTAACATAATTATGAGAAAAGTATAACATAATTTATCACACAAAGTGAAACATATTAACAAGACATTCGAAAAGCTGTTAACAAATTATATATACAATCTATAGCACAGGATATACATTAATATGTAAATTATTAGTGCATACGTGTTTCATAAACCGGGTGATTGACATGTTTAATTGTATTTAAAGAATTTAGTTCATGTAGACAATTTTGAGAAAATAAAATAAATATTTATGACAATTATACAGTTAAGACAGTAAGTACATATTGTAACGACTTGACAAATACATATTTACAAATGTGTACTTTATATAATTTGTATAAAAGTATAATATATCGTTAAAGTTACTAAAATTCATCGTTTAATTGTACATTTCCACGTTTGCAATTAGCCAGATAGATATATTTTGCAAGTTTGTTAAGAGTACATTTATTTTCACATTTCATCAAATTTTTAAATTTCTGTATACTTGGCCAAGAATTGTAATATCTTGTCAGATTTTCCATTCTTATTGATCTATAATATGGACATACCATCAAGAAATGGTATTCATTTTCAATCACATTCATGTTACATTTAGTGCATTTTCTATTGTTTCTATCAATATTCCGATGTCTGCCTTCTTCAATCAACAAGTCATGTGCAGAACATCTAAATCTACACAATGCATTCCTGTAATTTATATTATTAATACATATAAGATATTTTTCTGAGGAAAAGTCGTTTTTAAATAAGCAATATGTATCTAATTTTGACATACTATGTATACTATTATACCACATTTGAATATATTGATCTTTTACTCTTTGTATTAATTGTTGCAATTGACCATTTGAGATATCAACGTAGTTCCACATATACGAGAAGCCAAGTTCATCTAATAGTTCTTTAACTTCCAAAGACCATCTATTCACAATAATACCATTAACATCTACCATTTCATACACTTTATAAATCAAAGAATCTCGATTATTCTTCAACTTTGCCAATATTTCAAAATTCTTATTTTTCTATACACATACAAAGGAAATCTACCTAGTTCACCATAAACGGTTGCATTTACAGTTTGTTGTCGACATTTAATATTTGCTTTAAAAAAACTTGATATGAATACGCTCAATATCTGGAGCTTTATGAAGGCCCCAAATTTCAGAACCATAATTTAAAATTGGTAATACCATAGCATCAA